GTGATTGGGATGTGTCCAGTGTGAAAGACATGAGCAGCATGTTTAAGAAAGCCTATGATTTCAACCAGCCCATTGGTGATTGGGATGTGTCCAGTATGGAATATATGGGTGTCGCGTTTGATCAAGCATCTAGTTTCAACCAGCCCCTTCGCAAATGGGATGTGTCCAAGGTGAAAGATATGTGGTATATGTTTGATGGAGCATCTAGTTTCAACCAGCCCCTTAACAAATGGGATGTGTCGAGCGTCGAAACAATGATGAATATGTTTTGTAATGTCACACTTGATACATTCCAGCAGCTCAGGGGCTCATTGAAGGATCCTAACCCATAAGGTACAAAGGCTCTGTCCATATTGGTGACAACAGCAGCGACAGAACACGAGTCAGGGATCTGTGTCCCAAAACGTGCAACTTTTGCTTTGTTATCGTGATTAAGATTGTAGAACGTGGCAATTTATTCGTAGCTGAACAAAAGAAATCTCGATATTGTATTCAACCTCGTAAAGCAGAGGAGGCGCGTGGCGGGCCCAAAGCATCGCTTCTAGGGAGAACGATGCCTCCGGTAGCTCCGAGGGGCTCTTCATACCCGCATCGGAGCGAAGCAATCGTGCCCGATGCGTACCGTGCGTTCGTAGTTTGTGGTGGTGGTGCGGGCCTTCGTTATACCGACGGCGACGACGGGGTTTGTGCTTGCGTTTGTGTCTGCCCGGATCGTTCCTCCGGTGGACGGTTCTTCCGCGAACGGATCGATCCGGTGGGGGAGGACGTCCCTCCGACGCGGCGGCTCGGCCAGAGTTCTTCCCCGGTGGTTGGGGCTGCTGCGGCGGCGGCCCGGGTCCGGCTCCGAGTGGCACCCGCAACCGCCGAGGCGAGAATCGATGCAGCGGTCCTCGTGGCGGTTCGCGTCCGGGGGATCGTCGTCCTGCATTGCATTCCCTCCCAAAACCCTGCCATCGATCGATCATCGGTCGGACACTGTCACTCGTCCAAAAACTACGCGTACGAAGCAGAAAACAAAAACACTTTTGGGTATTCCAGCAAAGAAATACTATGCGCACGGCACGTGGCGTAACTTTGCATACCGTATAGGGCAATGCTCTCTTCCGCAAGACAAAGAAAAATATTTCTGTAACAAGCGACGGAAATAATGTTCCTACCGTTCATCCAAGCGGATCGGACGAAACCAAGCTTTCGAAAACTACGATACCTCTGTTTTGTGAAGTGTTGCGCATGGGCTGTGATGGTGTGCTACCACCTTCTCCGAGTGTAACAAAGAAACATCGGAACAACCGATCGAAAGAATGCTACAAAATCAATCGTTCCGAAAACTGGTGTTGCTTTTCGGTCCACTGTCACGTGCGGGCTGCAATGGTGTGCTATGTTATCTGTTTGCTTCGAACGAAAGAAAAAATCGGAACCATCGAAAGAAAATGTTTGGATTTTCCGAAGAGTTTTTCGATTCGTGTACCACAAAATATGGTCACCGAAAACGGAGGCTGGGGTCATAATTTTATATAACCCCCGAACGGAGGTATGCCATAACGGTACATCAGCAGAACGTGAAGTACGTCGTAGAAGTACAGTAATATTAAAAATACCGTACGTTCTACAGTAAAGTAGAAAGTACTGTACTTCGTACGAAGTACAATTCTTATGAAGTACCGTCCGTACCGTACGGTAGAAGTACGTACGGTATTTAAAAAATTTGTTTTGAAGTTCGACTATGTGAAATAGTGGTAGGCTCCTTAGTGTCGTATGAATACGTGTTTACAATAAAGAGTGAGGTTATTCACTCACTAGCTACTCGTGATTGTGGTTTTAGTGTCTCTGTCTCACACCTCCCCGCACTTGCAGAATCTAAAGAGTCGATTGAGTCAAATTTGCTRTGTTGAAGCAAATCTTGTAATGGGTTTAGATTGCTGCAAGTGGAAGACAAAATAATGTGTATTGTGGGGGTAAAAGGTGTGTTATCCTCAATATTTGAGGGGTCCTGGGTGTTTGACAGTGAATAGGGAGGTCGGACTCTTCCCATGAATATATCACTGTGTTCATAGAACTTAGTACGGCCTGTTGGTTTGCTCAGTGAATCACTATAGTTTTCGTCCGAGCGTGTCCGGAGAAATGTGATGTGTTCATCATCAGTCCATTGGAGTATAACAAAGTGTTTCATTTCAACATGTCTGGTTCTTCGAGTAGGTTGTTGTGCATTTGCCATCCTTACTGCACCGTGGTTGTCAGCTAGAATCGGTGTTGGTTCCTGTTGAGAGAGCTGTAGTTCATCGAGGATCCATCTAAGGTATAGCGCTGCTTTGCCCGCATCAGCCATATTAGTGAATTCTGCTTCCGTGGAGCTTTGAGCTATGGTTGGTTGTAAGCGTGTGCGGTAGTATACTGCTGCTCCAGCTAGCATCATGATGATTCCACCCATTGATCTTCTTTGAAGTCTATCTGATGCCCAGGTCGTGTCACATGCACCATGAATATGAAGGGGATTGGTGTTTTCATAGAATTTAGTGAGCGTTTCCGGTTTTGATTGGGGTATTGGGTGGGGTTTGGTGGGTAGGTCTTTTCGGGGAGCAGGTCTCCAATATGTGAGCCCTTCACTTTTAGTAGCTAAAAGATACAGAAATACCTGTTTAATTGCTTGRTAGTGGATTTTGGCAGGGCAATGGGAGTGTTGGCTTAGTGTGATGACAGCAATAGATATATCGATTCGACAAATTGTGAGGGCGTATATGAGTTCCCCTATACATTGGCGATAGTTAAATCCCATAGTTTTCTCCAGTTTCCCAGCCTCAAAGGGATCGGTAGGGCCCTTTGTGGTCTGAATAAGGCGCTGATAATCCGAGGTTTCTTTCATTGGTGTGGGGCGTTTGCGCGTCGGAGAATTAGTGAGGTTCCATCCGTGGTGTTGGCATATTTTCTCTATGTATTTTGCACAATGAAGGTGATTATAGTCCCTTGTTTGGTCCACATGTATACCATTGAATTTTCGAATAGTGCCCAATACATTGAGGGGGTTAGTCATTCGTTGTTGAATGCTGTCTCTTATTTGGTCACATATCTCCTCTTTTTCGTTGGCAATAAGGAAATCATCGACTTGTCTGAGGATAATGGTGAGGCCATTGTCATCATGCTTGTAGTATAGGCAGGGCTCGTGTGTTGTGGGTTTGAATCCCAGTTCAGTTATAAGGACTTTTGAGATATACTTATCCCACAGACGCGGCGCCTCTGGGTGTCCTTGGAGGGCCCTTTTAATGGGAATGACGTGGCCMATGGGAATTGGGTCTTTATGTAAGCAGTCTGTCCACCACTGGTAAAAGGGCGCATCCACTTTCATGTAGAATGGACTTTTAGGGGGTGGGGCTTCAGCAAAGGCATTGCCCACGTCATATCCAATACATATAAGGTTGAGGGCAGCTGCAAGGGCCCAGGTCAGTCTGTGAATGGGTTGKTCAACACAGGAAGCATAGGTTTCGGCCAGTGTAACCGCTTTGCCGTAACGTTTGCCTCCATTGCATGTGCCACGAGATTTGGGCTCATCAATTCCAGTTAGTGGATTTTCTTTCTCCATATATGTCCATACCCAAGGGAGTATGGTCATGTCTGAATTCGGTTCAATTGGTTCGCCAAACATGCCCACTCGGTGATATCTGTTAAGCTGTTTCCATTCGGATTTAAGGAATCCATCCCATTTATCAGTTTGTTKAAGCTTATTCCGAGTGAGTTTCGCAATCTTTAGTTGTTTTTCCAGTAGTTGCGGTGCATCAATTGGTGTTGGCCACTCAGTCTTGTGGCTCCATAGGTCCTGGCCATAGTTTATTGAATGAAGATGGTGGGCAATAACGTTAAGTTGGTCTGCTTGTAGTGTAGGAAGGCCCTCTCCATTTAGAGCAAATCCAATAAGTGAGCCAAATTTGAACTTGATCGTTGCATGATGAGCCTTCTTTGCCTGTTGTATGGCATCAACTATATCTTGTGTGCAAGTGATTGGTGTGTCTCCGACTATAGTGATGATAGTCCCGCGGAGGTTTCTTTTCCAGCCCCGGATGCGTGAGTGAGCTATGGTACCGACTTGAATGTTGGTGAGTTCAACTGCATTGGATATGTCTGGATGAGGGTTTGTGATGAATCCCATGGTTGGATGAAAGGTGTTGGTGTTCATGAGGGGAAGRGTGTAGGAGATCTCTTGAAGAAACATGTTTGTTGATACATCCAGGGTCTCCAGTTCTGGGATTAAGGTTGCAAGACACGGGCGTTGAAACTTAGTCCTGTAGATTTTTGCTGTGAGCTTAGCAGCTGCCGCCGTTGTGTAGCTTGTAGGTGAGTTCTGGATGATTTCTTCCACAATGTTAAGGGGGTTCACATGCTTGGGTTCGCCACAAAGCTGAATGGTTTCTGGTGGAGGAGATTGCTTAGTGCAATGCTGTGAATGTTGTCCTTCAGTGAATGTCTCCAGGAGATGTGCAGCAGCTGGGGACCTTTGAGTTGGATCGTCGCCGTATTGAAGCTCATCTTTGGAATCATGTCGTGCAATTTTGTCAGTTCCAGTGTGTATATCATAGTACTTGATATTGTCKGTGGTCTTTCCATATCCAAGGAAGATCCCATCATAGGTCCATGGGTGAGTGGTGTTGGGCCGTGTGCCKGGTCTTTTTGCCGTGATCTTTGCTCCGAATGTGATGAGGTTGTCCATGAGGGGAATGTGTCCTGTGTACATTTGAAGGGGTGTCATGTCAATGGCACTGTGATAGGTTCTGTTATAGAGCCAAGTTGCATGTAGGAGTGCATCTGTCCAGTATTCAGTGCCAAGGCCTGCTGCATAAAGGAGGCATCGTATTCGTTCCTTTAGTGTTCTGTGAGGTCGTTCGGCTAGGCCATTCTGAGAGGATGTGTCTGCTGCTGTACTCAGTGTATCATAGCCATGGTGTGTGAGGAGTGACTGGAACTGTTTTGATTTGGATAGTTCCCCTCCCCCATCTGTCATAATGGTGCAATCGAGGTGTTCTGGGAGGAGGTCAAGGAAGTAYTTATCGGGTGTTGGTGAGAGCTTGTAATTTCGTTGGTGAATGGTCTTGCCAAAGGATTTTGATCGTGCGAGGTAGCCGCCAGTTGTGGTTGTGATTGCTCGTTTAGGGTCCGTGTTTTTGATACCATGCTTGCTTAGGAAGAGGTCAATGATTTGGATAGGGGGGTCCTTGGATTTCACTGGTATAGTCCAGAGAGATCTCGTTGCTGCATCCACAATGGTTAGGAAACCAATGTGGCCGTGTCGGCTTTTCTTGAGGGTGGGAAGAGGTTTTGCATTGTCCTGAAGTACGGCTGGGAGATTTGGTGGGCCACTGACAAATGCGAGATCCATGTGGAAAGATTGTCCTGGGATGAATAGTTCCTTTTTAGGCTTACGAGTGCCACTATATTTTGTCATTTTACTCTTTTCACAAAAGGGGCATCGAAAGAATGGTGTTGAGGATGGCAGTTTTGGTATTCCCTCCACCACTCGCTGAGTTTTCAGGAGTGTTGAAGGTGAGATATGTCCATATCGTTGGTGCCATAGTTCTAAGTTTTTGAGTTCGTTAGAGAGTCCCGTTGACCAAATCTTTTCAGTTGCCGGTGTTACGGCATCGTCCGTGGTCTGCGGTGCTGTATTTACCTTAGCGTTTACCTGATTGATGTGATATTTATAGCGTTGAACTTCCGTTGTCAGGTGTTCGTTGTTCAGATCGTTTAGGATGAGTGCCTTGTTGGGTGTGTACCATTCCCCATTGTCGGATCGTACTGTTTGGATAGACTGTACTGTTGCGTTATGATCGTTAGTGAATTTCACTGATCCTTTGCTGTTAGCACAGCCTTCCTGTTGAAACGCGTAGAAGTTGTGTGCACGCTGGTAGTGATCAGGGGATAAAACCGTGCCGCCGGAGTTGGGTGTGTATAAAGCTTGCCAACGCATGATCGTGGTCTGRTCAGATATTATTTTAATATGGCCCTCCCCATGTGCTGTAAGTACTGATTGTAGAGTATCGTCTGAGCAGAATATGCCTACGTCAGTTGGGGATTTGTATGGTATATAGTCATGAAGAAGTGATATGTTGTCRGTTGCTGATATGTTTGCGCCTGTGTCCGCCTGGAGTGGTAGCGTTAGGGCTATGTGTWGGTCAGGGGACTGGAGTGCTTTAATACTGTGGCGACATRCGCCATCCAGGTTGAGCCGCAGACTTTTACGTRTGTTCTTGCGGTATAAGTGGTGAGGTGTGCGTATATATGGGTTGTTAAGGTCATARTGCGATGCAAGTGAGTCGCRTGTTATGCAGAAGGGCAGTAGGTCATCACTTAGGTGGGTGGTGTGTCGCACACRGGAATGGTCATGTGTGGGCATAGGGGAGATTTCTTGGTATGACTTGGGAATCTGGGAGTCGTTGTTAATAGAGGGCGAACGTAGATCGTGATTGTACTGATGCTCGTAGGAAGCTACACGATGGTGGTGCTGATTGTACTGTGTGTCGTAGGATTGTACGTGAGAAGCAGTACCGTATTTGGTGTTTTGCTCCGTATCCGCAAGCTTGGTATCAGCAAGCTCCGTATCAGTATCAGTACTAACTGGTGTTATAGTGCCAGTTGGTGGGTCCATTGCAGTGTTGGTAAGTCTTCTAATGGTGTGCGTTGGTGTTGACGATGGTGAGTGTTGTCCTTGTTGTTGTGTCGTCGTTGTAGTGGCATTAGCTGTTGGTGTTCTCTCAGGTGTCGTGTCGGTGGTGGTTGAGTCGTTAGATCGATCGGTATCACCGAATAGTTCSATGTCTGGATGGTTCTGTCTAGGCGTGGGATATCTTGTCGTTGGTGTACGTTGACCAGCTCTGTGTTCTCGTGTAATAGGCCGAGCCTCGCTAGAGACACGGCGTAGTCCCTATTCCGGTGTTGATGCTGAGCTGRTTGGGTGGGATTCAAATGCATTRACCCAGGCTTCTCTAGTAAGCTCGTGCTGGGTTTTGTCAATGAYCGTATTTCCCAGTGTTGTTTCAAATAGTTTGACCACATTTTTCATGTTCATACGATGRTGTTTGTCTGCATTAGTTTTAAACGTGTCCGGTTTTGYTTTGGCATACAGTTGGGCGTGATRGAGTTGAGCTCCAAATCGACAAACCTGGTCACCAATGCTRTGGCCATACGTATGGCAACATGGGCATTGCACTTTATTCCTGTACTCAAATTTCTTTTGTGGTTTTTCTAGGCGGCAGATGTGGGGTGACGGTGATTGCTGCTGTTGGTTGCTGGCGGGACTGTTAGGGTAGTCCAGGACAGTCTCAATCATGGACGTCAATGAGAGATGGGATGGAACAGGTTGACTGTCTGCTCCAGGGTTTTCCCTCTTGTGTGTGCTCAGAGTGAACATGAGATAGTTTCCTGCAGCATGGTTGTAGTGATTCATGATACGCGTGGCGTATTCAAAGCAAATATCAAGTTCGGAGTAGTCATGTTTATGTGCAAGATGGCTGATCCGGACATGATCGAGGAGCTTGCCTGCGTACGTACCAGGATCATCCTCTGAGCTCCATTCCGGTCCCCATCCAGTAGTGGTGGGTCGAAGATAGATAAGTGAGTTTCTTGCAATGGCATACAGGGCGTCATAGCCTTTCATCATGTGCTGATATGGGCTCATGAGACCTCGTAATTTGGAGTGTTTGTGTGGGTCAATCATTTGAGTGAGTCGCTGATATATATGGGTTCCAATCTTTCTAATATTTTCATCCGTTTCCTTGTGGTTTGGAGGAAGGCACGATCRGTGAATATGTAGTTCATCGATGTGTGTGAGGGGAAGACTTTCAAGYGTCAGGAGCGTGTAGAGGTCAGTATAGAGTGCGTTGAATTCAGCGGATGTAAGGTATCTGTTATCACTTGGGATAAGGTTCAAGTTGATGTGTTTGTGTTCCATTGCATTAATTGCTTTGCTGATCCTGTGATTTCTTTCGTGTTCCATRTCTTGGTCTATGCGTTGTTGGCGTGCATAGACCCTGCTTGCACATGAGCGGAAGCGGGGAGCCACAGGGGGATGATCCTCATCGTCAGTGTCRCTATTGGTCTCTTCCATACGTTGGTGGGGAAGTGTTGATTGGTGGGAGTATGCATGATTTTTATTTTTGTTTTTAAAGGTGGCGTTGGTTTGATGTTGTGTAGTAGTGTGCATGGGTTCATTGTTGATTGCCTCATTGATATGAAGGATGAGTGTGTCCTTAAGGGTGTCGGATTCGGTGACAAGTTTGGTGACTGTTTTGTCCACAGTGGTTTTGAATCCGTCAGACTCAAGGGCATGAGAGATGAGGCTGGTAATGTTGTTAGTGGTCAGTGGGGAATGAAGGTGGGTCTCCACAGAGGTCCTAATTTCTGACTGGGCCGTGGACTGTGCGTGTGCRATAGTAGTGCGGGYGTTGTTGATTTCTGTTGTAATGGAGGACACTATGTCTGTTTGCTGTAACTGAAGGCGATTGAGATGTATTTGGGCGGTCTGTTTGATAGTGTTCTTTGCAAGAATAGTGTCGTTTTTGAGTTGGTTGGTGATATTCGCAAGTTGTGGTTGAAGTTCATTGAGCACTGTTGCTGTGATCTTGTCTTTGATGCTCTGGACGATGGGTTCTTTTGTGGTTGCAAGGTTGTTTACTTGTTCAGCAACCAGTGATTGAATCTTTGTATCCAGATGYTGAGTGAGTGAGGATGCACGATGCTCTATAACATCAGCAAATGATKCRAGTTCACTGTCTATTAGTTCCTTGATCTGTTTTCTTATCTCTTCGACGTTTGGTGTTTTGGATGTGGTAATGCTRCTTGTTTCATCACGCGAAGGGGATTTAAGTGCAATCGTATTGTGCTTGAGGGAACTAAGGACAGTGGATGCTCGTTCCAGGCGTTGGTCCAGTGCCCAAGTCGTGGATGCTGCTGTGGAGAGATCCTGTGTGAGGGCTTGATTGTKGGCAATAGACTCATCAAGGAGTTTGCTTTGGTGTGCTAGTTGGTCCTTGAGTGTGCGGATGTCGCGATGTGCTTGAGCAAGATCCTGCTTTGCTTGGTCAAGATCATGTGTTTTAGTTTGAAGGGAGGAATCATATTCAGTCTGTAAGTCCTTGAGAGTTGTGGTGATTGTCTCAAACTGGTCTGTCCAGTTGTCGTTAACCGCAGTTATCTGTGTGTTCCAGGTTTGTTCCTTCAGGGAAATTGCATTGTTAATAAGTTGTAGTAGATGCATCTCATCTCTTTCCTCTTGCATCTCATTGCTCTCCTCTTGGTGTTCATCCTGGTGTTGTTGTGTTTCCGTTGTGCTGGATCGTTGGTCTTGTTCCTCCGTGTTGATAGAGTCAAAGCTGTCTTTGATGTCGTCTAATTCCTTATCGATATGTTGGAATTGGGCGTTGTACTCTTCAATTTGATTGGTTACTGAGTTTTCATCGTGGGATTCTGGCTGGTCATCGTTGTTCACTCTATTGTCTTGCTGGGCTTGTTGATACTCGTGTGCAAAGCGTCGATGCAAGTCACGTGGTGGAGCTGGGAGTGAGTCGTCGGATGATTCATCGTTATCAGCAGTATCMGTGTTCTTGGATAGAGATGGTGTTGAGGTATCATTTCTACTACCGCCTCTGGTGGTCTTTGGTGGGGTTTTAAGTTGWTGTGGGGATTCCAGACTGGAGTCATCCAGCCGTTGCGGAGGCCTGGATCGTCTGCGTTTGGAAATTGCCTGTGGTGGCGTTTCCTTGTTAGTTGGCAGCAGCTCGTTGAGGTGTTTTAGGAATGCTCGGCTGTATTTGTATCGTGAGGGGCCGTGTGGGCTTGTGGTGAGTGGTTGTTGGAAGTGATCGCGATGGATCAGTTCCTTCAAGTAGTCTCCAAGCATCACGATCTTATCGGTAGCTGGTAGCGCTGTGGTGTGGATGTTGTTCAGGCATTGGGTGAATTCATGAGATGTGGGGGTGTATAGTGGTTTGAAGAGGAAGAGTGGACCGTCATAGATCTCAAGTGTTGAGKTGAGTGGAAACGCGAGTTCTAGTGCTCGTATTTCCCGTTGTATGGTCCCATTATAGAACAGTAGTTCCAGTCGATCTCGCTGTGCCGCTGAAGGGGTTCTGCGGGTAGGAGATGTTACCAGGAAGTCCCGGATCCGTGGTGTCTGTGGTGTCCTGTTGTTGRTTCCTTTCTTCKGTTTGCGTTTGGAAGTTGCCATGGTCGTGTTGTTGTGTATTGATTGTGGTATCTATGGGCTAGAGTTGTGCTGTGGCAGGGTCCGTGGTATCAAGGAAAAAGTGTCGGTACTTCGGTCGTTGAATGAGTACTTCGGTCGTTGAATGAAGAAGAATTGTGCTGTAGCAGGCTACGTGATGTGGTACTGATGGGTTCGCTTCATCCGGGTTGCATCGAAAAGATTTTTCCGACGGAATACTCCTCGATGATAAAGCTGTCGCTGTGTGTCAAGGATATTGATCGATCAGGGTCAATTACTCGGTATGTAGTGTTGTTGATGATGCTGATGATGGTTATGCGAGCAGAGGTTGTTGTTGTTGCTCATAACCTRTGAAATAGTKGTAGGCTCCTTAGTGTCGTATGAATACGTGTTTACAATAAAGAGTGAGGTTATTCACTCACTAGCTACTCGTGATTGTGGTTTTAGTGTCTCTGTCTCACAGACTAAGCCCCAACACATACATACATAGATTGGTACCGCGTATAGGTAGTAGGTGCAGTACAAAGTCATACGGTACGTACGGTTCTCACACTCGGAGATGGCAGACAGAAAAAAAGCACAACGACGAAATGGCGTTGTGGCAATTTTTCGTTTTCTCGATCGACAAAACAAATCCTACTACTTATTTTTGCAATCCTTCGTTCCGGGAAAAGGCAATCGAACAAAGGCCAACGGCAACATCAAAACCAGCGCCAGCGCCATCCCCAACGATAGACCGCGAGCCGAGCAACGAGAGCGGCCCGTCCCGTCCCAGTACAGCCCAGCCCGGCACAACGCATTCCACAACCACAACCGCTGCAACGGATCCCTTTCGCTCCAACACAACCTTCCTCGTTCCCCCCCCCCACCACCCACCCATGGCGCTTCCGAACCCACCACCGAGCGGGTCCCGGACGCGGCGAGGGAAGTACTCCCTCTTGAGCCGCCGGGCGGTGTGCGCGATCCTGTTCGCGTCGATCGGCCCGGGGACAGGAACACTCGCTGCCTCGGCCACCGCCTCGTGCGAGGCAACGACAGCAGCAGCGGCGGCGGCCGACTACGAGCGGGCGTGCCTCCTGGACCCCCTGTCCCTGTTTCGGGCCAGCGCCGGTTCGTCGTCTTCCGGTTCGCCGACCCCCTGCCTGGAACGGGAGAGCTTTGGGGCCTTTGTGCTGGTGGGCGCCGGAGGAGCTGCCGCCGGCGATGATAGTGACGACAACAACGAGGCCGACGCCGGCGATTCCCCCGCGGCTTCCGGCCCCGCCTGCACCAACCTCGACGGCGACGAGGAGTGCGAGGCCATGGCCGCTCCGGTTGTTCGTGCCCCCGGAAACCCCCTCCCCACGCACCAGTGCCTGATGAATCCCTCCTACATGCTCGAGCGCTGCGCCAGGAGCTGCTATTCCTGTTTTGCTCTCGGGGGAGACGACGGAACCGAACCCGGGGCAGAGTGCGGACAACAGCAAGAACAAGAACAAGAACAACAACACGAAACAAGGGTGTCCATCGGCGTGGGGCAGGTCCTCCCGGAGGCCTCTTCGGTCAGGGGCACCGAGGTATTGGAAGACTGGGAGGAGGAGCTGTCGAGGAGGGGGCTTCCCTCCTTCGAAAGAGCGTGGGCCTTGCTCACGGAGGAGTTCTATTCCGTGGCCACCACCACCGCGGGATACATGGCCGGGACCGTTTTTGCCAACAACCACGACGGCAGCGACGGCGACAACGACGACGGCAACCACGAATTCGACGACGACGACGATTCTTTCGCTGCTTTTGCTGCTTCCCTCCACGGCTACGGGCCGGCCCGCAGGAGCTGCCGGAACTACGACCCCCTCTGCACCTTTCGGGTGGCGATGGCCCGGGTCCTCGACGGCCTCGGAGACGAAAACAAAGACGAAGACGGAGGGCCTTTCCAAAACTCGTACTGCAGCGGCGAGCCCCGGGCCGCGCAGCTCTGCGGGCCGGCCTGCGGGGCCTGCCACGAGCTCGTCCTCACCGGGTCCGAGCTGCAGACCTACGAGGACTGTCTCACGAACGAGACCCTCGACGCCTTTGTCGAATCCAAGGAAGACGACGAAAACGACGAAGACCAAGACGAAGAAAACCCCCCACAACCATACAACAACGTCTCGAACGGCAGGACCATCGACGACCTCTTTCGCCGGGTCCTGGGGGAACTCCCCTACGGCGACGGGGAGGACCGGAGCGGCCTGACCTACACGCCCACGGTCCTCTCGCGGCCCTCCATCGACGTTCACAAGCACTCCAACAGGCCCCTGTCCGAGGTCCTGTCCAATGGCAACGGCGATGGTCCCCCGGTCCTGCTGGGGGGCCCGTGGATCGTGGTCCTGGACGGATTTCTGACCGACGAGGAGTGCGACGCCCTGATCCAGCAGGGGGACTCCATCGGTCGGGAGCAATCGACCATGTCAGTGCTTTTGTGTTGTGTTGTGTTGCGATGTGTTGCGATGTGTTGTATTGGTACACCAAACTTCCCGGATGCTCGCTAGCTACAAATGTTTCGTCTTGTCTTTTTGGTCGACGCGATGATCTCTCTTTCCCCCTTTACCTCACCGCGTTTGGTTTGGTTTGGTTTGGTTTGTTTCGTTTCTTTTCTTTCGGCCCTTTTTTCCTTGGTGCTCCGAGCAGCGAAGACGACCTGGAGGACGAGGAGGAGGAGCAGGAGGAGAACGGTGACAGCGAGAGCGAGCCCGAGCCCGAGTGGAGGACCTCTACCACGGCCTGGTGCCAGGAGAGCTGCGTGGACGATCCGGTCGTCCAGCGCATCCAGCGCAAGATCGGGCTGACCACGGGCGTCCTCGACGAGGACTACTACGAGAACCTCCAGGTCCTCCGGTACGGTGAGTAGTTTCGGAATGCGGAATACAACACGGAAACAAAGCGCAACGCAGCGAGAGAGACAGAGAGAACGAGTGCCGGATGCACACGAGAATGCATGGCTTGTGACCCGTCTCTGACCGGTTTGTTGCATGCCTGCCTGCCTGACTCTTGTTGTTGTCTTGCTCACGGATTGGTGGCTTTTTCTTCCGTTCCCTTTCCCCGGTTCCCTTTCCCCAACCACGCCCGCAGTTCCCGGCCAGTACTACAACGAACACCACGACGAGGAGGGCGACCAGCACGACGAAAAGTTTCTCCCGGACGGCCCGCGGGTCCTCACTTTCTTCCTATACCTCAACGACGTCGAGGACGGGGGCGAGACCCGCTTCACGGACGTCCTTGGGGACGGAACGGGCGTCTACGTCGATGTGAAGCCCAAAAAAGGCCGGTCCCTCCTCTGGCCGTCGATGCTGTCCGGAGACCTCCTGGCCTACGACGTCCGGACCTTCCACGCGGCCCTAGAGGTCCGGAAGGGGACCAAGCACGCCGCCAACGCCTGGCTCCACCTGCGGGACTATAGGAACTGCCCCTGCGCCTATGACGACCTGGAGGAACTCAAGGAAAAGCTCCTCGACGACGTCATGGTCAAGTAAGACAAGCAAGAACCGAGGGAAGACTCCGGCGCAACGCAACGCAACTCTGACGGGGGGGGGTGGAAAGAAAAGGAAAGCAAGGCAGAGGAGAGGAGAGGAGAAGAAACATCAATTCGATGCAATGCAATATGAAACGAAACGATGCAATGCAATGCGAACCAACACGAAGCAAAACACCCATCCGCGGAACGCCAATCGGTTGGTCCCGTGGCGAAAGGATTCGTTTTTTGGGGGGTTCCACCCATTGGTGATCCTTGGGGGGCTGTTGCGTGTGCACCTGCTTTCCCTCCAACCACATCCGCGCCCCCGTGCCTCGATCGATTCCTTCGGAAAAGCACGGCAAGGCGCGACGCGGCGTCTTCGCCTTTCGGCGCCGGGAGACAACGCCCAAACGCGTTTCGGCACTTTGCCAGGCATTCGTTCCGAGCCGCTGGAGTCTACTGTACCTACGCACGCGTTTGTGATGTTCTCGGAATTGTTGCCATTATGAACCGTCGACGCCGATGGAAACCTCAATCGAATGCATCGCCATTCCGGACTCGATCCACCCTTTCTACCATAGTGCAACGATCTAACCATTTGTACTGTTTTGTTACATGTAGTGCAGTGAAGCTCGTGCTAAAATTATGAATTACTGGTATTAATGCAATAGCTTGTGTTCGATCGAATCCCCCGGGACGAACATTGCTCGGCATGATGCGGTGTTTCCTTTTCGTTCCCTCCTCCGTGTGTGTTTTCGTCGTTCCATCGAAAGCCCAAACGAACCGCTTCGTGGTTGGGTCCCTCCCGTCGATACCACGCCCAGGATTGTCATGCGGTGAGCCGTCGTTGTCTCGGCCAATGGTGGTGGTGTTTGATCGGTTACAAGCACCTGGTATTTTTATCATTCTTTGGTTATCTTGTACAGCGTATCGATGAAATTACAAGAAATCGATCGCGTTATGTGTTGATTGTTGGTTGTTCAATAGCGTGTGCGTGTGTTGGATCGTTTTCTCTGGTTGGAAACCGAAGCGCCCCGGAGCCCTACGGCGAGACGCTGACCAGCAGGTGAAAGTCCAGAGCGGCCGTGTGCCCCAGGCACCTGACGTTGTAGGGCCCCTCCAGCGTTTTTGCGTAGAAGTGGAGCTTCTCCTTGAGGTCCGCGGCCCGGTCCGTCAGGTTCTTGTGGCCCGGCCGGACCGTTTCGTCCAGGCACAAGACGTGGCACCAATCGTTGTCCGGGCACTCGATCCGGTCCTCTTGCAGTGGGCAATCAAATGTGAAATCGAACCCGCGGACCTTGCTGAGGTGGTGATGTTTCACGGCGCGGTGGCTCCTTCCCCCGTGCTCGTCTGCGTCGTACATCCGGTCGAGGTATTCGACGGAGTGTTCGACCATGCCGGTTTCTCTCGCCAAGAGATCCCCCAGAAAGTGCTCGATGGTCTTGATTTCGTTCGGGTGGCACCTGTGGGGGAGCCCGTTCTTGAAGGTGGGAATAAATTCCATGGTGAAGTGGGCGTTTCTGGCTTCTGCGCTTGTCGCCATGACCAAAAGTGTTGCGATCAGAGCTGTTGTCGCAGCTGCAACAATTGCGCGGAAGGATTCGATGGAAACCATTGCCGTTTTTCTTGTTTGTGCTGCGTTGCGATGATTGGATTGGATTGGATTTGATTGGATCGGATTTGGTTGCGTCGGTTTTTTTTATGCGAAGTGATGCGATGCGATTTACAGTACTTGACTGGTCCGATAGGAATGATTGTTGTGAATTGTTGTGACTACTTCTGGCTTGTTTCTCTGCTTGCTAAACAGCCTGTTTGTTTATCTACCTCTGTGTTCCTTACTCCGAAGAATGGTGAATGCTCTATCGTGCTCTCACCAGCTATTGATTGGGTCCTTTTCGAAAGCGCTAAAGAACTGAACACCGTAATCGTAGGAAGCACGAGGAACGTACCGTACAGTACGGTACTACTGGTAGCACAATTCGACGTTGTACTCGGAGAGGAATGCCGATACGCTTGATGAAGGCACTAAGGGGTCATTCCAGGACCTAGAGGTCATTAAACGAATGAATAAATGCTTCAAACAGAGAAAGGTCTTCAACAACTATTATTGAAAAAGTCATAATGTCTTTCATCAGTGAATCGTTCGAAACGAAAGAAAAGCTATGAATAGCCTCTCCCGTAGTGATCGTATTTTTGGCGGTTGTTCAATGCTAAATTTCAGTAGTTCTTCTTTAACGAGGTCTTGGTACGTTTGTTTTCAATCTCTAATAGGTCCTGTACGTTCGTACCATACGACCACAAGAATCGAGAAGCCTAATGCCTAATCGATTTTTGAATTACAGGTACGTTCGTACGTGGTGACTTCTCGACTACTACTAGTCGCAACCGTTTACGTACCGGTACATATTACTACTAGTTGACAATGATATGATACGGTACAATCTAGAGCTCAGGTTAGTTTTATTCAAGCTAGTAGTCAAAAATACGTACCGTACTCAACCTAGTCAAAAACGTATTCAAACTACTAGTCAAAACGGAAAATTTGATCTATCTTCACTCACAAATGAAATTCTATGATTAAATCTAACTAGTCAAAACAAAAAAATTGCTCTTTTGACTTGTGAAAAATCTCAATCATCATTATCACCAGCCAATCAGAATGCTGGATTCTTACCAAAATACTAGTATTATCCCTAACTCTAAATTAACACCAAACTTGATGTAAATGCCATTTTTGGTTCAAATGAACACCTGTGTCATCATGGATTGGAGAAATAATTTTAAATAAAATTCAAAAACCAACCAGCACACTATTGTGAGGGAGGAGGAAGAAAATGCAACTGGACAAAATTGCAACTTTTCATTTAATTTTTTTCATTTTCTACCTTGAAAATTCTTCTGCATAGTAGTACTAGTGAGTTGAAAAAGTACTACTAAAACTACCAAATTACCCTAATTTTTCATATTGTCTAGTATCTCTGCAACTACTAAATATTGATCTGGTTTTTGGTAGGACGATTCATCTTAACACACAAATAACTTTATTGGTTGTACTGGGTATTGAGGATAAACTACTACCACCAATATGAGTAGATAAAGTCCATCCATACCTTAATGGTATGTGAGGCATCAACATCTATACCATTACTACAACTATCTGAGCAATGACACTACAAATCTGTTGGACAATTTGTTGACAGTGGCTGCACTACTACTAGTAGTACTTCATACTAGCTACTAGTGGTGATGATGGATGCCCATATGTTCATGCAGTGATGTACTGCCTAGACAAGCAATGTTCCCTTTCTTGGCAACCCAACTCTGCAAAATCTTTTCATGGATACACTTCTTGAGGAGTATACTACAGGAGAGATGTACTACTAGTACTATTAGAGGAAGCGCATCTGAGGATTTCTTTGATTCACTCATAGTAGGTTATCAATTGGACCAGTATTGTGAAGAGGTCCATGTGGATGAACCAAGAAGAAATAAAGTGCAATGGTGTATCTGTCAAGTGGTGTGAAGGAGCTATTTCATCTGGCCATACTATGTTCCACATGGTTGCTATCTTCAGTGGTTTGAGTGAAAGTGAGATTCCAGAGAAACCATTCATTGTTATTGAAGTTCCAGGTAGTATGGTGTGCATGAATTCTGCTTTGTTGAAAAAGAATTAGGATATGCAAGCATTCTTTGAATGGTATAACAACATTATCTATTCATCTACTCTTATTACAGGTGGAGGGTTCTGCAGGAATTACATTGCCATGTGCCAGTTAATGCTGTAGAGGTCCCAGAAGAGCTAACAGGGCAAGTGTGGGTTGATAGTGATATGAGTCAATTGTCAAGACTCAATAGGCTAGATACTATTGAAACCTTGTTCAAAGAGAGGCATGTACTATAACAATATTGGTGCCAAGACTACCAATTGCTTCCAGCCAATGGACTTAGGGTCCTTCTTCAAGTTGCCATACCACTACGACCAAAGAGACTCTCTCACCACTGAGGTCACTGCTAGAGAAAGAAGAAATGAAGAAGCTGAAGATACAAGGACTACTCATTCTTCCAGAGAAGAAATCTTCTGCTATTATTTTTTGTGCTACAAGTTCTCCTCAGGCCAAGGCAAAAGCATTCTCTAATGAGAAATTTCAGTATGAATTTGTTGACAGGAGTGCCTTCTCCAGTGGTGTTGATGGATGCCCAGATGTTCATGCAGTGATGCTGACAAGCAATGCTCCATTTATTTGCACCCCAACTTTGCAAAAGCTTTTCCTGGATACACTTTTTCAGTGTACTACAGAGATGTATACTAGAGGAAGCCTATCTGAGGATTTCTTTGATTCACTAGGTTATCCATTGGACCAGGAATGTGATGGCAACATCTGGAGATTGACAAGTCATTCTTTTGTCTTAGAAAGATTTCAACCCATCATCAACAGTGAAGTCTTGAAGAGGAGGAATGCTGAGGCAATCAAGAATCTGGATGATGCAAGGAACTCAAGGGTAAGAAAACTTCAAGAGATTGAGCTGATTTCAAATGTCCCACTTGATGTAATTGCAAAAGCAGCAAAGGTTCTTCTGTTGGATGCTTTTGTGAAGATTAGGACTCAGAAAAATCTCCTGTAACCCTGGAAGACATCAGCAAAGGGGGTACAGTGAAAAGTGTCAGCAAAGGAGGAGGGTGTGCACCAAGACCAAGGGAAAAATTGTCATCCAATTGGTGAAGGACTTATCTTCCACTCAGCCCATTGCTGAGCCTCCAACTATCCTCCAGTTGAGCTTCCTACAGCTGTGTTTCCTTAATTCCCATGTCATTTCCTCTCATGCTACATCTGTGTCATGAGACCACCTTCAAGGCCATCAAGGAACAGTGTCAAGCATCAGCAACAGTGATTGCCTCTATTGGGAAGAAGAGAAACAGCTCAGAATGCTACCATGGAAGAGCTCGTGTACTAATGAAAAATTGTCAAACAGGAAATACAGACATCTATGTTATCTCTTTGAAGCAGTATCTTACTATACTATTGCTCTCAAAGCATTAGACAATATCACTCAAAATCCAACTGGGCAAAATCCAAGTGGTGAATGGGAGTTAAAATATTATGGATAATTACTAATGAAAAATACTATTTTTAATATCTTTTGAATGGCTTCAACACAAGCATGATTTCATTCAGACTATTCCAGTCATCACCTGCAAGTTTCTCCACTTTGTCCATGGTTGACCCTGAATGCATTGCTTCTATTGCTGTTCTAAAATAAATCAGAGGGTCAAGTGCATCATATGTTGACCACCATCTTGTCATGACATCATCAACAACACCAACAGGTTTCTTTCTTCTGTAGGTTTCAACATCTAATTCATGAGCTTTTCTGTGGCTTGGGTGGAATAATTGAAGTGGTGAATGTGTGCTTTTGCTTTTTTGTAGCTCTTGGCATGAAGAACACTAAAAGTTGTCTTTGAGTCTTTGGTATAAGCCTGCTTGCAAATGTTATGCATTTCATGGTCAGCACAATAAACATGGTGAGTACCCTTTTCCTCCAGCAGCATCCGAAGAGAGTTCATGTTTGCAGCTATGTCAGTTATTACTGCTGTTAAATAAGTGCCTCCCAACTTGACCTTTTCCAACATCAATATCTGAAAATCATCACTCAACTTMTTGCCTGCTGCTCCTCCTTCATGCAAAAACAAACCAATCTCAGATGAATTCATAGCCCAAGTCTCATCAATGAAATGAGCTTTGACACCAGTGTAGTTCTGGTTTGCTTCAGATGTCCAGTGATCAAGGGTAACTGAGATAACCTGTCCCTTCACCAGTTCTTCAACCATTCTTCCACACATTAAATATTCAATGTGAGATATCATTGATTGAACCTTCTTTGGGCTCATTGGCTTTGCATGATGGTTATGGGACTGGATTAGATCACAAAAAGGTTTTGTTTCCACAGCACTGAATGGAAGAAATCTGCTACACAGAAACTTCACACTCATCATATATTGATATTTCTGCATCTCCTTAGCAGTTTCCTTGGGTTCTTTTTTGTTGCAAAATTGACTTAATAAAGTCTGGATGACAGGGCCTGAGCATCATTCAATTCTTCCACATGACATCAATTGCTCACATCCATACCCTTCCTGCCATGTACTTTTGAAGCCAAGTGGTGGCCCATGCATGTGTAAGTTTCTTTTGCAATCATTCCATTATCATTCCAGTTCCCCATCCTTATCAAACTACCACACATGTTGCAACATGCAAATGCTGTGTTCCCATGAGCTTTAGGTTTCCAGTTATTAGGCAAATCTGATGTATCCACATCATCTTCCAATCCTTGGACTTGATGATAAAAATTCCAGCAAAGTGACTTCTAATTGACTGGTGGCTTAACAAGGCAAAAGATAGCTTTAGATTTTGGATTGGGCTTCAACCACCAGTCAAGAACTGTCTTTTGGTTGGAAAGAGTGGAGTTGTTGCCATTAGATGGTTGGGATTTGTGACCAACAATAAACCTTGGAGGAGATGCTTGTTGAAACATGGTGCTGTTGGAAGGAAGGTCTTGTTAGAATCAAGCAGGAAATATCTCTGCATCACCATGGTCAACAACATTTTTTCTTACATTGTTATGAACGTTTTTGACAAGAAGGGTTTGTACCAAAGTGTATACTAATGGAATTTGTAGCCACGGTTTGTATAATGAAATCTTGCCCTTTTGTGACCAAATAATGCAGGCATGTATGTAACTAACAAGAGAAAAGAATATATATAGCTGTTACATCACGAGTAAGAAGTTCAGATACTTATTGAACTCAATGTGAGTCTTTGGGCAGAATTACTACCAATTCTGGTATTTTGAGTGTACTACTACTATTACTATCATTCAAGGAATAACAACAGAACACATGATAAAATAATATATTCCTGTATTTCAATGACAAGAGACAAGAATATAGATACCTGTTACATCAAAGTAGTAGTACTCATATAAAACACTTATTGACCTCAAAATAAGTGCTGTATAGGCAGATATACTAGTACTACTACAAGTAGTCCTGGTAATTTGAGTGTCCTAGTACTACAAATACTATCATTCCAGGAATACCAGCAGTAAACTTCATACTAAAGTAATACATTCCTAGATTTTAATGATAATATAGTGATCTAACTCCCATTTTTGACCAAGTTATGACCCTCCAGGTGATTTTGGTTCCTGGGCAGATATTGGTACATTTGCTATTAGAATAGTAGTATTTGTTGCAAGATATCATAGATCAGGTTTGTAGCAAGACATAGCCCTCTTTAGTGGTGCCAAGGGGGGTATGTGATGCTAAATAGAATGATCTAACTCCCATTTTTGACAATTCTATGGCCCTCAAGGTGATTTTGGTTCCTGGGCTGAAATAGATGAGGTTTGTAGCAAGACATAGTCCTCTTTAGTGGTGCCAAGGGGGGTCCAGGAAAAACAACAGTTAACTTGATAATATAATACATTCCTATATTTTAATGATAAGAGAAATATATAGTAGAGATAGCTCTTATGTCAAAGTACTCATTTCACAGACTTCTTCAACTCTGCTGTCTGGGCAGAATTACCACTATTTCTGGTATTTTGAGTGTACTACTGATAGTATCATTCCAGGAATATCAACAGTAATCTTCATAAAATAATACATTCCTGTATTTTAATGGTAAGAGAAGAATATATACAGTAGCTGTTACATCAAAGTACTTTGTTACTACTTGTTCTACTAACTCTCCAAATATATAAGGCACTGAGATTACTTCATAAAAATAATACAGTCCTGTTGCAGCTACACAAGTAGTACAGCATTATGCCGAGGCCCAAACATCCTGAGTTGTTTGGTCAGAACAAACCATGCCAGAAAAATGCAACAAGAACAGCAGCAAGAACAACAAAGCAATTTACAGGATTCGTGGAACGGCAAGGAGAGGGAACACAGAAACCAATGCAACTGGCGCCAGCAATATCTCAACCTCAACCTGTTTTCGCCCGGGTGGTTGCAGGAGGAATCTTAACGAAAGTATCATGAACATTGTGATTTCCTTCTAGTAAATATTTTGCATCAAATTAAAATTTTTATGACGAGACACTTACACTACTTGCACTATTTAATCTTTAGAATTTCGAATTCTCAAATCACACGTATGTTCAGACACTAATCATCATATCACGTTAAATATTATTGCCTTGCTGATGACAACTCAAGTGCATCATCACTAAAACATTGTCACCTATGGAAAACAGTCTATAGATTGTTACAAACCCAGATGCCACAATACACCTGGGTATGGTACCTAGGGTGTGAAGAAGTAACGCCATGACCGACACGACTTGGCCTTAGCTTGTGCCCAGAAAGGAACCATATGGTATAGTCAAACCTCCGAACACATGCGCAATTCCAAAATGTTAGTGAATGGCTCCATGAAAATATTGACCAGACTTGTCGAAATGTATTTGAAGAGAGCACTCAATCCATTTCTGAACGTCACCAAACAAAATAGAATACGGGACTTGGCTTGCCCGACTTGGCCTGCAGTACATGCTTTTGCCTTGACTCGGGGTGCACAAATTGTTGAGAATCCTCGATTTGGTCTCGGTTTCGTCCTTATAACTTGGCCTTCTGTTTTAGATCAACCACTATACGAACCTGCTTCTTCTCTATCGTCGTTCCTGCTTATTCGTAGGAAAGGAATGTCTGTCGTTGAAGCACTGAACTTGGAACAATCCTGTGAGGTTTTGAACAATTTCAATCGTCCCCGGGGGAGAATGTTCGATACAGCCACCATTGTTTCTCGTTTTCGTGCATCCCTTCCAAGTCCTCGAGGTCCCTCTCGATTCTATTCAGAACAGCTTGATCGGCAGGACTTGGAATGTGACTCGCATCATCATCATCGTCGTCGTCGTCGTCGTCGTCGTCGTCGTCATCATCATCGCCACTTTCGTCATCACTTTCCTCCGCAACATCCCGAACTACTTCCACTGTAGCGCAGTATTCTTCGAGGCTGGACTCATCGTCGTCGAAGTCGCTATCATCAAAAGAGGTCCCTGTGCTGTACGCGCTTTCTCTGGTGCATTCGTGGTCGAAAGAGGTTCCCGTGCTGTACGTCGCATCCCTGGTGCATTCGTGATCGAAAGAGGTCCCCGTGCTGTACACGCTGTCTCTGGTAAGGCCGTCCCAATCGCTTTCTCCAACGTAATCTTCACTCGTTTCAGAAGATGTCCCACCATCATGTATGATCACACCCGCGCTTTCGTCCCATTCTGTTTCGGTACCATATTCATCGGTCCCGTCCCCATCTTTACTTCGTTCACCATGATTGGAAGCATCCGAATGAAGAGAAGCTTCTGATTCTTCGTCGAAGCTTGGTGATTTTAGCAGCACCACACCCATCGGTGGAGTGTCCTCGAATTCCTTGCCTTTCTCGGTTTCCATTTTGGCCTTCGATTCTCGGATGGTTCTTCGACGCTCTCGCCAAGCAAAACGTCTTTTCCTTGCTGATTTACTTTCCGCGTCATGGATGAGTGCCCGGACTGAATTCAGCAGGAGCTTTGGTGATTTGTACTCTGAGGAGCGCAAGAGCATGGAACGGACCGAAGTCACCAATGTCGCCGCTGCCTTTTTCTGGTTGGCGGCGACCATTCGTTTGACACTCGAGACCAAAACTATTGAGGCATCACCCGGCGATCCGGAGGTTTCCTTGGTCAATACTTTCGGTGGATGTTTCGCTATCCTGCCAGAAGATTTGACACGAGAGGCGAATGGCATGGAAGAACGAGACTTGGAATGTTTTTTTATCTTGCGCACTTGTCGTGCTTCCGCGTCTTGTATACTAGAAGTGTCGGGGTGTACAGAGTATCTTTCCATGTTTTCCAAGGCGGCGGATTCGATCTTGGTGGCGTGTTTTCTTCCAATTCTTTCCGGGGTTTTCTCCTTTTCTTGGTCCGCTAGATAACCATCATTTTCTTCGATTTCGATGCCTTCCCTTTCATCTTCGTTGATTTCTTTCCTTTCTTCGTTCTCAGGGGTACTCTCGGATGTCAAAGAATGCATCCAGTTGAATGGATTGAAATACGAGTCAACTTCAATCGATTGACCTTCCAAGTTATTGACGCCATTCGCGGTGTTGGTTCGAATTCCGCCCGCGAGATCGGGGGATCGGATCCATTCGTCGTCGTCTCTTCCTTGTCGATGCTCTTCTTGATGCCCGCGCTCGGCGATTTCTTGCTGGTACTGGTCCAAGGAATATTCAATCATAGATTTGTCAGCACTATGGGAAAAGTATTCGACCTTTTGTTTCCCCCGACCGGTCCTCTTTCCGATTTGCCGCCCGACCTTGCGAAACAGGAACTTCATTTTCTTCTTCTTCTCTATCCTTTTTCTTTGTCTCTTCGCGTTGACCGGGCCTCCCGCCACTTCAACGCCGGAGTCTTCCATCGCTCCTAGCAGTCTACTTTGATATCTCTACTGAAAAACCTTTATTCTTATCACCTTCAATGATTAAAAGTGTGCAGTTGAAAAGTGTCCATGTCGCTCGGGACCACAAAAAAGACAGATACAAGTTTCAGGTAGTATGGGAAAAATAGGCATGAAAGCGCGTTCAATTCATTTCAAACGCATCTTTTTCTTTCCACAGAATATCGAAGAATAGAAAATTTGCATTCGACAACTCATGACACTTTCTTGCAAGGTGCTCTAAGCTTTGGTCATAGACTGAGACACTGGAAGGTGCTCGAAGCAGTATGGCGACAATTTTCGACAGCGCGCACGCTGGTACTTCTACTACGGTAGCAAAAGGATTCTATTCTAACTTCGAAATTTCGTATCGTACGATAGTACCGTACCGTAATGACTTAGTCTGTCATTCATCCGTTTTCAGAGCATCAAAACCTAACAAACTTTAATACTGTAGAGTATCGTAAAGTACCGTTCGGTATTACCGTACAACGTACCGTAGGGCAGGTGCTCCTACAATGTACATGTGCAAATCACTCATACCAGTACTTACAGTCCTCGTGCGAGATTTATTGGTCAAAATCGAATCTTCACCACCTCACTGGGCAGTACGGTCGGATCTTCCATTCTTTTCCACGGCAAAGAAAGCTTGGAACCTTCTTTCTAGAATTACAGTACGTAGGAAACGTCACATGTACGTGCGAAAAGGATTCATTCTGCGGAGTCAAAAAAGCTGACACTTTTTGCATCAGTTATTCTACGGTAGAGATTTAGAAGAAAAAAATATCTATCGCTCCCTTAAATTATGTACGTTATGGTACTGTATGTTTCCCTACTGTACTACAGTAGCTAGGGTACATACGGAATGAACACGTTAAGATCTAGAAAAATTGTTTCTCCGGGATTTGTGTACATACGGTTTTGTCGTAAAAAGCAGTACTGTACCTACAGTACGGTCTGCATTGCAGTAACAATGAAGCAACCTCATTGTTTGGCCGGCAAAACAAATAGCGTACAACAAATCGTACTACCGTACAGTTATTGATAGTAACAACGGAAGTAAAAGAAATCCTGCAACGCCATAATGTAACGTGATTTTAGAACCCTGAATCATTTCAATATTTGATCCTTTGACCGAGGCAAACCACCAGATTCTGGCTCGTCAAACAGTTCTGTTTTCACTCATACCTTACGAAGCTCGGAAATACCTATCTTTCCTTTGTCAGAAGTGGCGAATAGTCCTTTGAAGTTACTGATATCATGCGTTTCGCTGTTGCTCTGTCTACTTTAGTGAGCCTTGGTTCCGCCAGCGATGACGTAAATCGTGCAGATGGAACACTTAGCAGCAATCCATCCCATCCCGATTCCAAGTCGTTTTCGATTGGACTTTCCAAGAACCATGCAGGGTTGTCCAACGAGAGTATTTCCAAGGCTAGTATTTCCAAGGCTAATAATTCCAAGTCGAAAGTGCTTTCGAACAAAGCCATATCAATCGATGCGGAAAACGAAGATCTAGATGTCATTCCAGACATTGGTATCATCAGCAACAAGCCTAGCGTTGCATCCAATGATAAATTTGACTTCATGTTTCCTATCGATGACCACAATAAGCAAGGATACCATTTGCTTCAAGATCCTACCATGCCGAGTAACGAACAGGTTTCCCACGGCGTCGCCTATGCAGGAGACTTGTGGGTGAGCCAAGAGGAGCAACGTCCACTGCAATCAATCACGGATTGTACTGCAAATTGTTCCACTGGACGCAGTCATTTGTTGGAAGATCCTGTGGTTTCCCGCGACTCGGCCGATTTGCGGGCGGGCCAAGAGGTGCAGCGTGTGCTCGAACCAAGCACAAGCACAGACTGCGCAGTCGCTTGTACCAATGGACGCCCCATCATCAACGTTTCTGGTTGGGAATTTAGGTCTCTCCTTCGTAGCTGTGCTTTCAGCTCATCAGATTGCCCATACGATCTTCCAATCAACTGCTGGGACACATCGCGTGTCACCAGTATGTCTTCTGCCTTTTCGGCTTCAAGGTCTTCTCCGACTTACCTCAAACACTTCAACGAGCCCCTGAACTGCTGGGATGTATCGAGCGTCACAAATATGTATATGATGTTCCACTTCCAGCTTAAATTCAACCAGCCTATTGGTGATTGGGATGTGTCCAGAGTGGAAGACATGAATCAAATGTTTTATCATGCTGCAAATTTCAATCAGCCCATTGGTGATTGGGATGTGTCGAAAGTTTCAGACATGAACAGAATGCTTGAGAAAACCTATAAATTCAACCAGCCCATTGGTGATTGGGATATCTCAAGCGTGACACGCGTATTTAAAATGTTTTATTATGCAATACGTTTTAACCAGCCCATTGGTGATTGGGATGTGTCCAGACTGTCAAACATGTTCGGCATGTTTGATCATGCTTATAAATTCAATCAGCCCATTGGTGATTGGGATGTGTCCAGTATGGAATATTTGAGTGTCGCGTTTCATGGAGCATCTAGTTTCAACCAGCCCCTTGACAAATGGAATGTGTCCAAGGTGCAAGGTGTGTGGAATATGTTTGATGGAGCATCTAGTTTCAACCAGCCCATTGGTGATTGGGATGTGTCCAAAGTGGGATCTTTGAGATCAATGTTTGATGGGGCAACCAGTTTCAACCAGCCCCTTGATAAATGGGATGTGTCGAGGGTCCAATCAATGATGTATATGTTTCGTGATGCAACCAGTTTTAACCAATGCCTCTCAACATGGGCCGGAAAGACCCCTATGGTTGTCGATATGAAAGATATGTTGAAGGGAAGTGGTTGCCCGCAGCAATCGAATCCGGATCCATCTGTAGGGCCCTGGTGCCAAACGGAAAGTGATTCTTGCTCCGTTGATTTGTCATTCACGGCTTGTACTGAAATTTGTTCCACTGGACGCCCTGTTGTAAATGTTTCTGGAAAAGAATTTCGAGATCTCATCAAGAATTGCGTTGTGAACAATAGCAATTGCCCGTATAATTCTTCTGTCAACTGCTGGGACACATCTGGTGTCACTGACATGGCTTACGCATTCCGAGATCTGGTATACACCGAATTCAGTGAACCACTGCTCTGTTGGGATGTATCAGGGGTGACAAACATGGAATATATGTTTGGAGGTTCATATTTCTTCAATGGAGACATTGGCAATTGGAATGTGTCAAGAGTGACCAGCATCGATTCCATGTTCTCCTCGACGTCTTATTTCAACCAACCCCTCGGAGATTGGGATTTGTCAAGCGTGACAAGCATGAATCGAGTGTTCCACAGGTCACCGTTCAACCAGCCCATCGGCGACTGGAATGTATCAAGGGTGACGAGCATGAGCGAGTTATTCTCTTCGTCGTCCTTCAATCAGCCCATTGGCACTTGGGATGTATCAAGCGTGAGAGACTTTGGAGGTTTCTTCGGACCTACTTTTAACCAGCCCATCGGTGAATGGGATTTATCCAGTGCTACAGTTCTGGATAGAATGTTTGCATTTGCTTCTAGATTCAACCAGCCCATTGGGGATTGGAATTTATCAAATGCAGAGAGCATGGTACTCATGTTTAAAAACGCAAAAGCGTTCAACCAGCCGATTGGGGATTGGAATGTCTCAAGGGCTACAAACATGAGTAAGATGTTTGATGACGCTTTTGGGTTCAATCAGCCCATTGGTGATTGGGATGTCTCGAGCGTGAGAGATATGTCTGAAATGTTCCCAGGAGACGGACAGAAGTTCAACCAACCCATTGGTGACTGGGATGTCTCGAGGGTGACAGACATGAGTTTTATGTTTATTTCTAATAAAGCTTTCAACCAGCCCATTGACGTTTGGGATGTGTCAAGCGCGACAAAAATGCAGGGGGTCTTTTTTCGTGCAGAAAATTTTAATCAATGCCTCGCAACATGGGCCAGCAAGACACCTGGAAATGTTAAAGTGGATTATATGTTTGAAGATAGTGGTTGTCCGAACACATCAGATCCAAATCCATCGCTAGGACCCTGGTGTCAAGTTGACAGTGAATTCTGCATTGCTCCAGATCCAGGTCCTGAAGATGATGATATTCCGGCACCAACTCCAGGTCCAGGTCCAGATATCCTCTCTACTTGTGCAGACAGTTGTCCMAATGGACGCCCCGTCATCAATGTTTCTGGTTCCGACTTTCGAGCCCTCATTAGCGAGTGTGTTCCCAACGCATCGCTTTGCCCATTTTCACTGAACTGCTGGGACACATCGCGTGTCACTGATATGTCCAATGCCTTTGCAGCAGATAGATTTGGGCCAGGATCCTTCAACGAGCCCCTGAACTGCTGGGATGTATCAAGTGTGACAAGCATGCGTGGTATGTTTCATTCCCAGCCTTCTTTCAACCAGCCCATTGGTGATTGGGATGTGTCCAGAGTGAGAGACATGGAATACATGTTTCATAAATGTGATAAATTCAATCAGCCCATTGGTGATTGGGATGTGTCCAGTGTGACAAACATGAGAATGATGTTTGATGACACTTTTGCATTCAACCAGCCCATTGGCAATTGGAATGTCTCGAGTGTGCAAGACATGGCACAAATATTTAAAGGAGGAGATCACCAGTTCAATCAACCCATTGGTGACTGGGATGTGTCTAGCGTGAGAGATATGAGTTGGATGTTTGTTGGCAATCCTGGTTTCAACCAGCCCATTGGTGACTGGGATGTGTCAAAGGTAAAAAGTACGACTGGTATGTTTGCTCAGACATCAAGTTTTAACCAGCCCCTTGACAAATGGGATGTGTCGAGCGTCAGAATAATGGGGCTTATGTTTGACAGGGCTTCTAGTTTCAATCAACCCATTGACCTTTGGGATGTCTCAAGTGTCACCCATATGATTGGGATGTTTCGTGGTGCAACCAGTTTTGATCAATGTCTCTCAACATGGGCCAGCAAGACCCCAGTGGATGTTTTCTTAAGACTCATGTTTATAGGCAGTGGTTGTCCCCAGCAAATGGATCCAGATCCAAGACTAGGACCCTGGTGTCAAGTTGACAGTGAATTCTGCATTGCTCCAGATTTTCCTGAAAATGAGATCTCTGTTTGCGACAATATGGAAGGTTTCCAAATGAAGGGCAAAACGATCACCTGCACAGAACTGGAAGACTTCAGCAGCAAGAAGAGAAAAAGAGTGTGCAGGAAGGAAAAAGCCAAGGAGGCCTGCCCCAGGATTTGCGACCGCCGTTGCTTTTGCAAGGACAAGACCGCCTTCAAGATCAAACCCAACAGCGACAACGACTTTAGAGGGAAATTCCGGTGCAAGAACGTAAACAAGGACCAGCAGCCCTCCTGCACCAACATGGCATCCATGGAGATGATGGTCGGGGATCTGTGTCCTGTAACGTGCAACTTTTGTTTTTGATTCGGGCCACCGAGGCACGATGCGTGCGTAGTTGTGAAACCATCAAATTTCGTCTACTCGTATGGCTTGGCACTTTAGAACTGACACGTCAGTCTAAACATTTTCACCCAACCCTCACTAGCCCACCAAGAAACAGAAACCATCACCAATTGAAAAATGAATTTCTGAATTTCCCCAATACTGTCCTTGTACCAACAAGAGAACTTTCAGATTCAGGGGTGAAACCTACACGTGCACCGAATTGGAAAACTTTAGCAACAAGATGAGGAATAACGCATGCAAGAAGCAAGCCAAAAAGGCATGCCCAGGGGTTTGCAATCTCCGCTGTGTTTGAAAGGACAAAAAATTCTTCAGGATCAAACCCAACAGCAACAATGGCTTTCGAGGAAGGTTTCGGTGCAAGAATGTGAACAAGGACCAACAGCCCTCCTGTAACACCAAGGTAAAGAAAGGAAAACTGGTGAAGGATGTATGTCCCAAGAAGTGTGGCTTTTGTTTGTGATCGAGTCAGCAGTGTGGAAATACATGTATCTGAACTATTTTTCAAATCGAGCGGTAATATTTTTTCTCAAAATAGTAATTATTCTTTAAAGTACTTCGATGAGTCACAAAAATCATATCATTACATTCACCATCAACCCACATTTGTAGGTTTGATGGGACTTTTCCTGTTTGAGCGTGTTCGTTTTCGCTTTCGTCTTAAACAAAGCCCTCGGGTATAAAGTTGGGAAGCATTACCTCGCTCACGAGATGGATGATGCCGTTGCAAGCCATGATGTCTGCATCATCGATGACGGGGAAGAGATTGTTGCTTCGGTTGCCACCACCCATCTGGAACATGGTTGCACCACCGTCCGTACACTTGGTGCGGCTGTTGCCGGCCATGGCCATCTCGATTTTCTCTCCGCATACAAGATCTTTCATCATGACAAAGCCTTCAGTAGCGTGGTAGGAAAAGATCGCGCCGATTTCCTCGTCCGACAAGGAGCCGTCGGTCAATGGGCCCGAGATTTTTTCAAATGCTACGTCGGATGGAGCAAACAGGGTGTAATAGTCGGTGCTCGCTGCCTCGTACACTTCCGGAGCCCACTTTGTGAAGAGATCGCAGAGGACAGTGTAACCAGCTGTGTTGCAGATGAGATCAGCTGTACGATACATCAGAAGATAGGTGAGAGGAGGCCACAAGGACGGACAAAAATGGCACGATGTGGCGCACAATCGATCACAAGCTGTAAGTATTTCAATTAAAAACGATAAAACCATCCCCTCAAAACTGATGTTGGTGTTGTACCACAGCAACTCGTTTTTGCTCTACGCCAATACACATCATTTCCGTGTTGAAGAGAACGCAACAGAAAGCAATACATGTTGTAACTCACGGATCGATTGACAAGTTATGTCGTCGGCAAGCGCAGCGTCATCGTCAATCGCTTCCTCCACAACCATAGTGCCGATGCAGGAGTTGAGTCCAATCAGAGACCAATAATCGGAGGCTGCCGACATGTCTGCATTGTCCTCGAACATGTATCCCACGCGGAATAGCTCATCGCTGTCGAAGGAGGTTGGGTTGCGAGAGTAGGTCAAATCATAACAGTATCCATTGGGCTCGTTGAGGATCTCTTCTAATTGGAAGTAGGAGATGGCTTCGGGCGTGCAGTTGTTGCAGGTTTCGTCAGTGCACGCACTGTATCGTTCGAAGATTCCCCATGGGGTACACGTTATCTCATCTAATAAACTGTATTCAATCTGTCCGTCTACTAAGTCGCCGATGCAGAATTCACCATATGCGGTGTTCTTGATCGATGCAAGCTGGCCGGGAAAGATCGTGTCCGGACCCCCACCTCCGGTACAGTCGCCTCCCACGTATGACGTGGTGAGAATTGGCGGATCAAAAACGAAGGCACTTCCTGGGGATGGGATTCCATCATTGTCGTCGCCGTTGGTCTGCATCCGGCGACGCTGTTGCTGTAATGCCGCGATGGAACCTGGTGGAGACAATCGCGAGCGGGCCCAGACTGAAGAACATGTAGCACTCAAGATCAACAAGACACACAAAGATGATGGTTTCGTCATTGTTTATATTATATTCTTCTCCTTGTAACCAAGTTTGCAGTGCCAATTGCTTGATAATATTGCCACCAGTTATTTGTAACTGGACAATTTCGTGTAAAACAGAGAGTTGTTTTTGTGTACAAGATTCGAAAGCTTCGCTTGAAAGTTTACGATAACAGTACTGAGCAGCACAACCGAGGCAAAAATAATAATATTACAATGCGTGCGTAATTGTGAAACCATCAAAGGTCGTCTACTTTACGAGTAATAATAGGAGTTCTCGTTTCATGTTGAATCTGGTACAACACAGGTAGACTATCCTGGAAGTCGCAAGCTTAGTGTCACAATCTTACTCTAGTGTCACAATGGTCATGTCATCATAATAATCGACTCTACGTAACCGGACCGGTACCGTACGATATTGTATTCTCCGATCCTTCCGACTCGGGGGGACTTGCTGTAAGATTTTTGTCGAATCACAGAAAATGAACTGAAGCTATGACACTCTGTTCTTCTTCGCAATCGTTAGTATTGTATTTCGTATTTCTTACTGTATGAGGAAAGCAGAAACTACTACTTCTTTGTTTTTAAGACTGCGGCGTGCTTCGGGTTCTGATCACACGTGTCGTCATGGGGAAAAGAGAAAAGAATCTTTTTCGGATTTCCATTGATTTCATTCCTCGGAACTCTTCCGTAGTTCAACGGAAAATTCGTCTCAAAATTTCCGCCCAACCCTCACAAGCCCACAAGCCCACAAAGAAACAGAAACCATCACCAATTGAAAAACGAATTTCTGAATTTCCCCAATAATAACTGAGTCAATGTTGATAAGAATTGGGAAAGTAGTACTATTAGTACTGATACTGATTGTTATCTCTTATAAATACTATAGTTCTTGGTGGTGGTTGATGACAGAGTCTGTAGTCTTATATATCAGAACTCGTCGTGCTGGTGGTCTGTATCTCGTCGTGCTGTGTTAGCAACTGGACTCTCGACTAGTAGTAGTAGCTAGTAGTAGTACTACTAAAAGCAGTAGAACTAGTTCTAGTAGTATAGGAACAAAAAGAAGAAGAAGCAAGAAGAAAAATAACAAGAAGAAGCATAGATGATACAAATGACAAAGAAAAGCCAAAGATGGCTCATCAAAACCCCTGCACCATATCTGTCCCAGTCATGAATCCTCAGCTTCTTGCCAAAGATCTGCTCTGTTATTTCTGCAGTACTACGAAAAAGCAACTTCTTGCTGTTAACCTGCAGCCCATCAAGGTAGGTGTAGTTTATCATCAATCACCACCAACAGATCTCGATTTTCTAGACCAAAACTTCTTCCTTTGTTGTTCATTGCCCTCTAACCTGCAATAATAGTGCCAATGCCAACAAGACAATCATTGAGTAGGGTCTACAAATATATATCAAGCATTATATCGGACATCATTAATCATTACATTTGTACTAATAATTGCCATACTACTGGAGCAAATTTGCTGCACGTGGCCAAAATACCCTTCTGCCAGTACTAGTGAGACCTCCTCCTAGTTCCTCCTTGCTAGCCGCCCCTTTCATCTGTTGACAAACAAATCCAATCATGCACCAGAGAAATGAATCGCGCGTCACGCATTCGAATCGACACGTTCGTATCCCCTCTCGGTCAGTTTCTCGATCCTGTATTGTAGCGCCTTCACAAATCCCGCCTTTTCCGGATCGGTCATGTCTCTTCTTTCGTGCAGGACGCTTTCGAGTTCCAATATGCGCTCGATCAGCACCATGCTAGTCGCGCTTTCAAACGAAGCATCGTGGGGATGATCAATGCCACTACCGGTCTTGTGTTCCCCACAAACAGAGTTGTATGCTTCCGCGGTCGCCAATGGTGTCGGTTCGAAATCATGCTCGTACACCAAACGGAGAGAGGTCCCGCCCGAGGACCGCTTCGCAATCTCGTCGGGCACCCTTCCGATACCAATGCCTCCCGAACAGACCAATTCGACGCTTTCGGTATCGTTCGTATCATCCAACAAGTTTTTGCAATCGTGTTCACCGCCCGGGTTCTCACCGTTACTGCTTTCCCGGCTAGAATCCAATAGCAACAAATTCTTGTTGCTGTGTTCTTCGTTGCTGCGGTTGCCGCTGTTTCCCCTAGAACTCTCGGATAGATCCTCCGGTGATTCGTTCGCATCGACGTTGTGGCTGTTGCTTGCGCCGATCTCAGCGGCAACAGCGGAGTTGCTCTCCCTGCTCCCCGCGGATCCCTCCCCAATGCCCCCGGGCAATCCCTCGCCGTGCTTTCGTTGAAAGAACGAGGTGTCCTCGTAGGGAAATTCCACGCCTTCCCCGGCGTGTTGAAACTGCTGGTCTTGCTTTTCTGGCTTCTGGATTTCCGACAGCTTCTCCTCCAAACTCGCCACCTTTTGTTCGAGGAAAGCGTTCCGGTCCTTCCAGCGCTGGAGCTCCGCAGCGACCTTGTCCTTTCCCCCCCGAGCCGAATCGCAAGGGTCCCTTTGGTTGGGCGTGTCGGCTTGTGGTTTTGGTTCCTTCGGCTTGCAGTGCTCGAGCTGCTGGAGGGCGAGCCTCCGGTTGGAGATCTCCAGCTCCGAGATGCGCTTGCGGAGCCTCGCCACCGCGAATTCGTGTTCCGATCTCGCCAGTTCGTTCGATGCGGAGAGTTCCCGCTGCCGCTTGTCGGCCTGGATCGTGGTGATCTCCAGCCGGCTCTGCAGGAGCTCCAGCTGCGACTTGTACACGCCTTCCTCCCACGAGGTTTCCGAGGGGTGGTTCGGGTCCGGTTGTTCTTCTTTCTCTGGTTCGAGAGCGCGGGCCCTGCGGAGCTCGTTGGCCAGCTGGACGTTGCTCTGCTTGAGCCGATCGATCCTCGCGTGGAGCTTGTCAAAGACCTTGCGGTTGATCCGAATCAGTTCTTCGTGCTGCTCTTTGGATACGGCACCTCCCCCGATCCTCCGAACGGCCATTCGCTCGCACGGGTCGAGTGCCCCGGCCGCACCTCCTCGTTTTTCGCCTCGATCAAGGGCCCTCGCACCGGGAGACGAGGGACGATTTCCGCTGGCACGGTACCGAGCGGCGCGGTCCCCGTTCGCGCTCGAGATGTTGGATTCCTGGGACCTGCGGGCCATCCTGTATTCCTCGTATCGGTAGCGATCGTCTTCGTCGGAACGATCGTGGGTGGTGCTTTCGTCGTCGTCGTCGTCGTTGTTGATGTTCTTCGTTTCTCGGGCCTTGGCGTTGCCCCCCGCGGCAGCCGACAGGGCCTTGGAGACCACCCTGCGGTTCAGCAATTCCATTTGCTCCTCGTGGTAGCCGTACCCCTTGCGCTCGGCCTCGCTTTTCGGTTCTCCCCGGTCGCCTTGCGGTGGTGCTTGTGCTTGTTTTTGTGCTTGTGGTTGCTGGTGGTTGTGCTTTCCGGAGCGCCGGAGCTCGTAGCCGTGGTAGAGGGCCGGTTCCGAAGGGGAGCCCCCTGCCCCGGGCTCGTCCTCCCGGAGCGAGTCGTCGTCGTATTCGTGTTGGTGTTCGTGTTGGTGTTCGTCGTTGGACCCGCCCCTGCTGCTCACCGGGATGCTTTCGGGGGCACAGGCAATCCCCGTGCAGGCCCCCAGAAAGGCATTGGCGGCGGCCGATCCCTGGCGGGTCCCCCCCATGCCAAACCAGCGCTTCTTCTTCCGGGAGGCCTCGATTTTCTGGCTCCCGCTGGTCCGGAGTTTCTGGGTCTTGACCCTGAGTTTTGCCAGCCTGGAGGCCCTCGGGGTCGCGGCTTCTTCGGGAAGCCTTCCCGGGCCGCTGGGGCTGGCGTTGGATTGGTCGGCTTGCGGCTCTTCGGGTCCGCCTCTCGGCTCGGACTTTTGGTTGGGTTTTGCGGTTTCCGTTTCCGGTTCCTTTCGAAAGGAAGCCCCGCCGCCATCCTTTCGCTTGACACCCATTCGTTTCCGCCACGGGGAAGAGGGCCCGCGGGGCTGCCGCAGGCTCGATGGTTGCGGTGGATCCACGGTTGCGGTTGCGGTTGCGGTTGCCACTGCCTCCGCGCTTGGTGTTGCGTGGCCCGCGCTCCCCAGAACCCTTGCATCGTTTTCGCCGCTTTCGGCGCTTTTGTCGAGGCCTCTTGGACGGCCGCGGCTGCTGCTGCCGACGCTGCTGCTTCCTCCCCCCCCAAACTTTTGGTACTCGATCCGGACCACATGCGTCTTGTGGTGGTGGGGGTTGCTCGCCAGGATGGCCATCCTGGCCTTTTTGGGGCTGGGCCGGAAGTGGTGCTCGTCTTTGCGTTGGTGTTGGTCTTGGCGTTCGCGTTCGCTGCCCCCCCGTTGCGGCACCTGCGCGATCCCGTTGATGGAGAGGACCGAGTCCCCGACCCCCAGGTCGCTGTCCGCAAAGATGCTGGACGGGTGGATCGACTTGACGATCAGGAGCTGCTGTTGCTGTTGCTGTTGCTCCCCCGGAACGTCCAGGACGCAGAACCCGAGGCCGGCGTCGAGGCGGGAGTTCCTCGGCCGGGCCCGAACGACCGTCAGGGAATGGGGTGGCCTTGCGGAGGGATCGCGGGGGCCGTCCCGGGCGTTGCCGCTGCCGCTGCCCCTGGGGCGGTATCCGAGGAGTTCCTCGACGCACTTGTGGTTGTGGCTGTGGGTCTTGCTGTTGCTGCAGGGAGGATTGCGGACGTGGCGGGGGGGATTCGCGGGGCGACCGAGAGGAAACGCGGGTTCCTCTCGTTGGGGCTGGAAGGACAGCTTCCGGCGGCTCGTCCGGTAGTGGGCAATCTTGTTGGAAAGACGCTGGGGGACCGCCTCGGGAGTGTATTCGCTGTCGCAGATGCTGTTGGTGCCGATCCTGTACTCGTCGGTGTTGGCGGGAAGGTTGTTGTTGTTGTTGTTCGCGTTGGCGTCGTCGTCCGAGGAATCCTCCACGTCCGTCGTGGGGGTTCCGATCGTAGCCGTGCTGCCGATCTTGGTGGGGGTGCTTCCGCTCCGCCTCTGGTGTTCCTTCGTCGGGTGGTTCTTGGTTTTGGAAGGACCCGTTCCCTGGAACCGCCTGCTCTTGCGAGGCTGGGCGACGCCCTTCCCGGCGTTCTTTTTCGTTCGACGCGGTTGCCGTTCCCGTTCCCGTTGCTGCTGCCATCGCCGTTGCTGCTGCGAGCCGGGAACGACGTAATCGATGGGGGGATCCGCTTCGTGTTCGTCTTCGTCTTCGTCTTCGTCCTCTGCCCCCCAAACCACCTCGTCCAGGGTGGAGATCCCCTGCTCGATCAGGGCCCCGAGGTCAAAGCCCGACATGATTTGTTTCGTTTCGTTTGCTTCCCTTCCCTTCCCTCCCCGTTTCCCGACACCGGTGCCTTGTGCTGTGGATCCTCGCGCTTATTCCTCCATTGAATTCCCGGTGTTTCTTTGTTCGTTGAGTTGCTATCGAGTTGCTATCGAATTGCTATCGAGTTGCTATCTCTGTGGCGAATTGGCTGGACGATTCTGCTCGCCCCGTCCCGGGTTTTGTCTCCGATCGGCTTCCTATCCCCGAAGGGTACTGTATTCGTTTTCGTATTCGTTTTCGTATTCGTATTCGTATCCGGGAGTTGTAGGGTACGGTACACTGTCTGTGGTCCTCTTTCGGTGCAACAGGCACCACGGCTACAAGGGTATTTAAGCTGCTCGTAGGTATCGTACTCGCCCATGGTACGAGTACCGTACCCTACCGTACGAACTTGTACCGCGGAAGGCCTTCATTGACATTTCTTCGATCGAATCCGCTCGGTCGCCCTCCGACAATATTGGTGAAGCATCCATTGAACGGAATGTTGTGTTGCCCGATGATACTTAGTACAGATACTTGTACTACGAGTAACGTACCGTACCGTACGTACCGTACCAGAAATTTCCGCACATACATGTGCAGCAGCATTGCATTGCGGGCGCTCGTTCTGTTTCTCCGTTGGGCGACAGCGCGCCGTGCTCGCGGCTAGCATCGGATTCGTACGGGTCGGGTGGTACGAGTGCCGTACTCATACTAGTAAGTACTAGTAGTAAGTAGAAGTACTGTACTGTACTGTACCAAGTACGCACAACGCACATACATACATAGAACGAAAGCGGTAGTACGTACGGGTACGTACTCTACGTACTCGTGCTTTGTATTTACGGTAGGTTTGTGATTTTGTCGAATCCAAGCGTGTCACGCCATACCAAAAGATAGAAAATCATGCCCTTAACTTTTCCCGTCTCCGCCCAAATTGTGCATTTTTGGAATTTTTTTGGTTTCCATGATTTTCACCTGTGCAGACTGCAGTACAAATCCTAAATGAAATAAGACTGAAATACCAAAAAGAGTTTTAAACAATTATTTTGTATGAAACACCTTTTCTGCTTGCGGTCTCCAACACTCGCCCTATTACCCACCAGTACTTTACGCCAATGCCTCGTCATAGTAAACGACCACCGGCGGAGATTGTCACACAAGATTCGTCACTGGCTGGTCTTTGATGCCTACTCCAAAAAGAAGCGACACAAACAACCTGTCGTGTCAGATACTTCTTTGGCTCCTCCTGTAAATTCTTCCAGTTTGCTCCAAACCAAGCTCAGTCAATTCTTTTAATTCCAGTGAAACAAACCCCTGGTCGCACTTCCACTAAAGCTCCTCGGAGGGAAGTGCTGCCCCTCGGAGCAGCTACTAGAAGGATTCTTTCCACCAAAAGATATGGTTCTGGCCATGTAGTGCCTCTTCTAGCTCACGAGGTTAAAAATAATATTAAGATTTTTAAAACACCTTTTCTGCTTATTCATTTCTCTCCTCATAATATCCAACCAAGAAAATATAAAACACTCCAAACCAGAATATAAAATATCACCCAAACCATCATATTTACCAACATAAAATAACAATCATATCACCACAATGGATGATAATTATTCTTTTTCTGATGCTTGACAATTGTTCATACTATGGTCAAACTACTAGTGATGCAGACCTATATATGCATCTGCAGAGGTTTGGGTGGTTCAAAACAATCTCTCCGTCTTGAGGATGGTTGTGTGTGTATGTTCCCACCATGGTCTGGAATACAATGAGCAAGAACAGATGTGGTTTTGTTGTTAGACAATATATTCATTTTGGTGACAACAGGAGCCAAGCTAAATCATACTGAGGACCCAATCTACAAAATCCAGAATGTGATGGAGATGTCTTTGTCTTGGGTGGCATGCAAATATTGACCTATCTGTGGATGAGTCTATGATTGTTTACAAAGGGAGATCCATTTGATTTGTCCAGTATCTTCCCAAGAAGCCAATCAAGCATGGTAGTATTAAGTTGTACTATGTGTGTCTGTGATGATGCTGACACTGGGTACTACTTAATTGCATTCGAGATCTACACTGGTATTAGTAGTGGGTCTACATGGGATATTATTCAGCAGTTGGTACGTCATTTCAATCTTGGACAACAAAATGGCCATTGACTGTTCATGGACAACTTCTACACTACTACAATGAAAGTTGTGACCTAGCTATATGAAGAATACAGATGGGTATTGGCTGCTGGAAACATTGTCCACGAGACAAAGAAGAGGGTTGGTTCACTCACAGCAGAAGATTTCCCATTTCCAAAGCTCTCTAATGGTGCAGTTGCTGGAAAGGTGCAACGAGGATGGATGCGGTATGCCACACACCAGTCAATGACTGGACTAATTAATTTCCAAATATGTTGTACAGGCCACTATATGGAGGGACAAAAGGGTGGTTGGATGGTTAGAACATACTGTTGATGGTACTGGTAAGCAAGTAGAGACACAGAGAAATTTGATGCTCCACAGGTACAGAAGACATATTCCACAATGTTCAATGGTGTTGACCTCTCAGACAACAAGGATACTGCAAAAATTTTCTAGTACATCACTTCAAACAAACAGATTGTACCTTTGTATTTTCTTCTGGTTGCTTGATAGAGTGGTACACTCCTGCTACACAATTGTCACTAGCCTAGCATGTGATGAGTTTATGAAGGAATGGAAGATATACAACAAATCAAAACACAATGGTAGGAAAAAGTTTCAATCTCATTTTGGCATTGCATTGATAAATAGAGGGATTGAAATGGACTGGAAAGAGCCAGATGATGAAGGTTCTAAGTCAGAGTGGATGCCTCAGAATTCAAAGAATTGAAAATATCACCCTTGTAATTGCGGGATTTGTTTCTCACACCATCATTGTTGCTCATGTAAACAAGGTAATGTCAACGCCACAGCCACATAAAGAAAGATACAGTGGTAATTATGAAGGAGTAAAGAGGAACTATTGTGTGTGTAGAAGAAGCCAAGCATAGTTGGTATCCTAACTCATCAGTGAGGAGATTGAGGAAGTTGCCACCATGGTTGATTAGTACTACTACTCCTACCAATAGTAAAAATGTCGTCAAGCAAGAAGAAGACCAAGAACAAGAATGGTTGCAGAAGTTGCAATGTTGCTGTATGTACTAAAGAGCATCGGAGTAACTTCAACCATCAATTGTAGTGATGTGTTATAAATGAATGTATTTATATTGGTTAAAATATTTTTTAATAATATTGTTTATAGTGATGAGAGGGGTGTGACAAGTAGAGTAGTAGTTTACTAGTAGTAGTATTAGCAAAGAAAGAAAAAAATTCCTAAATTTTCCAGGTGGCAACACTTGGCAATACGCGACAGGAAAAAGAGCGCTCAGAAATTTGAGCGCAAAGATATTACAGCACAGTACTGTAATTAAGTGACATAAGTTTCAGCCCAACGTGAGTCAACCGAACCAATCCTGCCCGGTCGCAACGCAATCTTTTTCTCCCCGAACCGTCCGAATCTCAAACGTACTTTCTGCGTCTCGCTTTTGTCCCTGTTTATTGATATTGCACACCAAAGAACCACCGATTTCAACACCATTTCAAACAAGAATGCGCTTGGCAATCGCTCTTTCCGCCATTGTGGCCCTTGGATCTGCTAGTAACGAAGGGAACCACGATGGCCAACTATCGGATCGTGATTCCGATTCCGTTATGATCGGGCTTTCGGAGCACTACGGCTTTTCCAACAAGAATCTCCCGAAGGCTCCCYACGCCGAGAGAAAAGTGCTTGCAAACAAATCTACACCAATGGAATCGAAAAAGGTGGATTTGGATTCGTCTCCAGACCTTGGAATCGTCCGTAACGAGCCTAGTGTCGCATCGAACGAAGCTCTTGTCCACAACACCATGAGTCGTCCCGACGACAGCAGCCTCGAAGGCCATTACTTATTGGAAGATCCGGAAAAGTTGGACTTGGATTTGGATTCGTCTCCAGACCTTGGAATCGTCCGCAACGAGCCTAGTGTTGCATCAAACGAAGCTCTTGTCCACAACACCATGAGTCGTCCCGACGACAGCAGCCTCGAAGGCCATTACTTGTTGGAGGATCCTGTGGTTTTCAGCGACGCGGCCGATATAGGAGATTTGCGGGCGGGCCAAGAGGTGCAGCGTGTGCTCGAACCAAGCACAAGCACAAGCACAAGCACAGACTGCGCAGTCGCTTGTACCAATGGACGTCCCATCATCAACGTTTCTGGGTGGGAATTTAGCTCCCTTATTCATAGTTGTGTTTCCAGCCCATCAGATTGCCCATACAATCTTCCAATCAACTGCTGGGACACATCGCGTGTCACCGACATGTATGGTGCCTTTATGGAATCAAGGTCTTCTCCGGGATCCTTCAATGAGCCCCTGAACTGCTGGGATGTATCGAGTGTCACAGATATGAATAACATGTTCCAATACCTGGTTAAATTCAACCAGCCTATTGGTGATTGGGATGTGTCCAAAGTGGAAGACATGTCAGGCATGTTTTCTCATGCTGCAAGTTTCAATCAGCCCATTGGTGATTGGGATGTGTCAAAAGTGTCACACATGAACAAAATGTTTGAGAAAACCTATGATTTCAACCAGCCCATTGGTGGTTGGGATATCTCCAGCGTGACAAACATATTTAAAATGTTTTATTATGCAGTGAGTTTTAACCAGCCCATTGGTGATTGGGATGTGTCCAGACTGTCAAGCATATTCGGCATGTTTGATAATGCTTCAAATTTCAATCAGCCCATTGGTGATTGGGATTTGTCCAGTATGGAATATTTGAGTGTCGTGTTTCATAAAGCATCTAGTTTCAACCAGCCCCTTGACAAATGGGATGTGTCCAACGTGAAAGGCATGTGGAATTTGTTTGATGGAGCATCTAGTTTCAACCAGCCCATTGGTGATTGGGATGTGTCCAAACTGGGATCTATGAGATCAATGTTTGATGGGGCAACCAGTTTCAACCAGCCCCTTGACAAATGGGATGTGTCAAGCGTTGGAAATATGATGTATATGTTTCGTGATGCAACGAGTTTTAACCAATGCCTCTCAACATGGGCCAGCAAGACTCCAACAGATGTCTATACGGAAGATATGTTGAAGGAGAGTGGTTGTCCACAGCAATCGGATCCGGATCCATCTGTAGGGCCCTGGTGCCAAACGGAAACAGAATCTTGTTCCGTTGATTTGGGTCCTTGTACCAACAAGGGAACTTTCCGATTCAAGAGGGAAACCTACACGTGCACCGACCTGGAAAATTTTAGCAGCAAGATGAGGAACAAGGCCTGCAACAAGAGGCCAGCCAAAAAGGCCTGCCCGGGGGTTTGCAATGTCCGCTGTGTTTGCGAGGACAAAAAATTCTTCCGGATCAAACCCAACAGCGACAACGACTTTCGAGGAAAATTCCGGTGCAAGAATGTGAACAAGGACCAACAGCCCTCCTGTGACACCGAGGTAAAGAAAGGAAAACTGGTGAAGGAGGTATGTCCCAAGAAGTGTGGCTTTTGTTTGTGAGGAGGCCAGCAGTGTGGAACTACGTGTATACGTGAACCAACCAATTTATTAAAGTGAAACAATTGGAATTTATCATTGTGTTTTGTGAGATCGGTGCGTTGCGTTTTCGTCTTTGTCGTAGTGATTCGCAACATTGTGGTTTCGTTGTGGTTTCGTTGTGGCGTCCCCGGACCTCGACAGCGGTTGAATGCGACCCATTCATCGTGGTTCGTATCGTATATTGTATCGTATATCGCATCGCATATCGCATCGCATCGTACCGGACGCAATGACGTTGTGCCCGACCAGCATACCGTTCGAGTGCGAGCAGCCATCCTGCCGTTGTGCGACAGAAGGGGTGGCATTCTTTGGTCTCCCGCACGAAAGACTCCTTTCTCGTTTCCGATTCCGAGTCGTCGTCGCTCGAATCGATGGATGGTCGAACCCTACCGTACTCGTACTCTCTCCCGTGCCTTTCGATGATTCCGACCCAAGGACGACGAGTGCCCGCAGGCCAATCCAACCATTTCTTCCTTGTCGCTTGGGGGGCGAAGACGGTGTTCGAAACCGGTGTTTCGGATCGGTTTCTCGCGCCAGAAAAAAGTTCGAAGTTTTCACGTACCAGTACCACCAGTACCATCACTAGTATCACTAGTACCTACCAGTACCAGTACAGGTATGTACGAATTATGTGCTGTATGACGCCTGGGTCCTCTTCCTTCCTTCCGAAAGCAAGGAACCAATGTCTTCTACATATTTTACATACGATACGATACAGGTACCGTACTGCCGGCATGGCATAGCATAGCATAGCATAGCATCGCATCGCATCGCATCGCATCGCATCGCATCGCATCCTCTGCGGCAACGGCACATTCCATTCCTTGCCCGTTGCAAAGCTTGTGGATGCGAAACAAAGCACGGCACGGCACGGTACTGCAGGATGATGGGACCGTGGAACCCCACCAACGGGAGCGAACCCAAGGATGCGAATGCGAATGCGAATGGGAATATAAATGCGAACGGGAATATAAATGCGAATGTAAATGCGGATGCCACCGGGGGACCAACCCAACGACAAAGCAAACCACGGGTGCGCCGGGCATACAGGGGGGTCGTGGCCATCTTTTTCCTCGCCGTGTGGTTCTTGCCGGCACAGCTGCGGGTGGCACCCGATGCGGCCATCTTCGACTTCGACTTCGAGTTCGAGTTCGAGGACGAGCTCGAGTTTGAGGACGAGTTCGAGCACAAGTTTGAGGACGAGTTCGAGCACAAGTTCGAGCACAAGTTCGAGCACAATTTCGAGCACAAGTTCGAGGACGACTTCGAGGACGACTTCGAGTTCACGCACGACCTCGAGCTCGACCTCGAGCTCGACTTCGAACGGACCACCCGTTCCGGTTCCCCTGCGGCCGGGAACGCCTCGCTCCGGGCCCTGCATCGTTCGGACCGCGACTTTTACAGGGCCGTCCACGAGTCGCGGTTCCCGGCGTCGGCCGCGGGCCGCTGGAGGCACCGGCCCGACCTGGCCGTCTTCCCCTCGAGGGACCACCTGGAGTGCCTGAACCTGGAACGCCAGGGGAACTGCCACGACGAAGACCTGTGGAAGACCGCCACCGACGCGGCAAAAATCTCCCGGCACGAGTCGCAGCTCAAGGGCGCCATCCAGAACAGCCCGGGGATCCTTTCGGCGTCCGACCCGTGGATGTGGGAATCCGATCTGGAAGAGTACAAGGCGATTCCCTACCACAAAACCAACCAAGAGGAATACCGCGAACGGATCCGAGCGATATTCCTGGGCCGCAACCGCGGAAAAGAACCCCGGTCTCTCTTCTTTGTGGGGGACAGCCTGACGCGCCAGTGGCACCACTCGGTCAAGTGCGAGCTGGTGCACGTCCTCGGCCTGCCGGCCGAGAAGGTGGAAAACATGGTGCACTTTATGCAAAAGCACAAGGGGTGGTGGCAGGGGAACCTCCGGCCCCTCCGGAACGCCACCGAGCGCGACTACCTTATCTTCAACTTTGGCCACCACGTGGGAAAAAAGCTGGGCGAGGGCTGGCCGGAGAAGTACCGAGAGGTCCTGGAGGAGGCCCTGGACATCGATTTCGGACCCATCCCCAAACACCACGTCTTTTTCCGGACGACCGCCGTCCGGCACTTCCACGCGGGAAAGGGCGACTGGAACACGGAATCCTCCAAGGCCGGTGCCGTCCGGCCCAACATGACCGACGCCTGGTCGACCTACGGGGGCTCGATGAAGGAACTCCCGCTCCAGAACCTCATCGCCTTTGACGTCTTTCTCGGGGGGACCAAGAGCAAGAACAAGAACAAAACCAAGACCAAAAACAAAAACAAAACCAAGAACAAAACCATCGCCTTCGACGTCTTTCTCGGGGGGACCAAGAACAAGANCAAGAACAAGAACAAAACCAAGACCAAAACCAAAACCAAAAACAAAACCAAGAGCAAAACCATCGCCTTCGACGTCTTTCTCGGGGGGACCAAGAGCAAGAACAAGAACAAAACCAAGAACAAAACCAAAAACAAAACCAAAAACAAGACCAACCAATCCAGCAGCGGATTCCGGATCCTCGACGTGTCTCCCATGATGCTGGCCCGGGCCGATGCCACCTTCGACGGCTGCCACTTTTGTCTCCCGGGCCCCCACGAGTTTTGGAGCCGCATGCTCTACCACCGGATCGAGCAGGACGACGCACGGTCGGAGTGAAACGCACGGAACGGAACGCACCGCACGCGTTGCGGCGGCACACGGAGGGACGGGCGGGCGGGCACAAGAACCCTTGTGTGGGACGGACGGAGCAGTGCGGCCCCCGGGCGGAGGCGACACGAACGACCGCGGACAAAGGGGAGCCGCCGGTGCGGTGCGGTGCGGGGATGCTCCCGCCGCACGCAACGCAACGCACAAAGGAGCCGGGGATGGTGCGGACGCGGAGGAGCCGAGCCGAGGCCTGCGGGTCACAACGGAGGCTACAGCTAGCACGCACGCACGCACGCAGAACGCTTCTAGTATGAGTAGTACTACAACGGAGCAGCTGTGGCAAACGGCTTGTCCCCCTCTTAAGATCTTAGAACAATGTCACAACAACGTGTTCTGTTACAGTATTGTCAAGAATTGCCTCCGTCCTGTGTCTGTTTCTCATGGAAATCGCCTTGTGCTCGTTATTATATATAAGGAATTCTGCTCAACCGACTAGACGGATTTTTCATTTTTCTGCTCTAGCAGTACCATGCTTGATGGCTTTGGGAATCATCCACACGATGTCAATGCAAATGTACGTAGAGTTGTACGGCACATGGTTTTCTACTGTTGCATTTTTGGTCGCGTTGCGTCCAAATACCGCACGTACCCCTGGCGCGTTATTGTGTACTCATAACCTATTCCAGATCCATGTCGCAGGTTTCTAACCTCTTGAATACGGTACTGGGGCGCCGATACAGTAAGATACTTGCTGAGTCGTGCAAACTTGACAGGACTATTAAGTACCAGGTACGTACGTACTGTACGAACTTATGAAATTCCAGCAAGTGCATGTTTCTACCTACGGTACTGGATTCGCATAGTACTACTCAATCTGTCTTGATCCTTCGACAGAATCAATATTTATCAATGATCAATGATCAATAACAAAGCACATGTACGTACGGCACGTTTCGCAATAGACGGATAGGAGTCGGCAACATGTTCCGCCGTACAAATTGGTTGCGTACGGTACCATCGATACAGTAACAATCAACTCCTCGAGTTCGTTGGTGTCGACAAGCATCCGACGGAGCCACTACAGTACCCTACTCGTACTCTGTTGAAAGGGAAAACAAACAGCACCGGCAACAAGGAACAAACCACACAAGAGAGCGGTCGGCTTTTCGCAAAAAAGAATGGCTTCTTTCTGCTCGATCGAGGCAGGCTTCCCCTTTGTCTTTTTCGATGGCGATGGGGAGGCGGTGAACGGGACAGCGGTTGCCACGGCTGGTGGAAACGGCACCGGCAGCTGTTTCTTTCCCTCCGCCACCTGCAGCCCGGAGGGCAGGGTCTCGGACTGCTGCGGCATTTCCCCGAGCGCCGGAGTGGCAACCGGGGCCAATTACATGTTCCTTGCGTTCGCCTTTTTCATGGCACCCCTGTTCTGGGCCATCTCTGCAATCTACGGCAGCATGACGCCGGAGGAACGAGAGATTAGCGACCAGAAAGACGAGGAACGAAAGCCGCGGTTCATCACCCACAACCGGTGCATCCCGGAGTTTCTGAAAAAGACTCTGCTGGGCGTGTACGAACTGGGCCTCCCCTTTGTGATCACCGCAAGGGTCACGATCCCCATCTTTGCCAAAAAGACCCAGCAGCGGTACATGACCGTCGACCAGCGGACGAGCCTTGCGGCCTCGGAAGCCTTCATGGTGCCCTTTTTCACCATCTTCACCTTTGTCGAGGAAATCGTCATGATCCGTGTGAACTACGCCGTCTCCGAAAACGACAAGGCGCTCACGGACCGTTTGGTCCACGCGGGATTGGCCGGAGTCATCGTAACGGGGACCATCGGGGGCATCGTCGGAACCGCCCTGGGTCTTTTGCCGGGGGCACTGGAGGCCCTGACGATTCCGGGTGCGGAAAACGACGTTGCCGTGTATCCGGGGTGCAATTTCCTGGAGGCGGTGGACGTTTCGATGATTCTTCCGTATTGGTTGCTGGAGTCATGGGAGCTCATCGGAAAACAGATCGGCGGTGTTCTCAGTGGGTTTCTCTTTGGAGCCCTGGAATTCAACCTGCTTGGTTGGATCGGATTGGTCGGGGAGATACTCTACTGCTTCATTTGGTTCGGAAACATTGCCACGTACGGAAATCCGGTGACGCTGCTCGGTATTGCCGAGTTTGTCCTGGACTGGACGACACCGATTCTGCTGACTCTGTTTTTGGTGACCCCCATTGGATCGCAGATCCGGGAGCAGACGTGAGTCGAGTTGTGCCGAGCCGAGCCGAGCCGAGCTACCATCCTCTGAATGCATGCTTTGCTCACTTATTTTCTTTCTTGATTCTTTCTTGGTCCGTTTCCTTGCACTCGTTTCACAAAGTGGTGTCGAGTTGTCGATCACGAAAGTCTGCTCCTACTTTTTGCGTCCTTTGGCTGCCTTTCGTAAGCCTGCCCTGGAACAAAGCGACGAAAAAGATGGCAGCGATGATATCAATGGCGACAAGGACAATGCCGCTAGCAGCAATGGCGATGGCAACGACAGCGACGATGACGATGACGACGATCAGCGAGAAACCATGTCGCTTCTGATAGAAGGCCTCAAGATTATGTTTATGGACATTGTCATTCAGGCCTGCATGACGTGTTCCATATATCTGGCTCTGACGACAGACGGTGCGATTGCCTACCAGATCACGGCACTCCAATCCGAACTCCCGGCGTATGGAATTGCCTACGCGATGGGAATGGCCATTAATACACAGATTTTGGGCCCAATCTTTTTGTCGAATGGGATGCATGGATTGTTCGTGAAATACATCAAGATCTCAATGGCCTGCGTTCTTGTCCTAGTTGCTCTCATTTGCAGTTCAACCGGTCCCTTCTTCCGCGGACTGGCACTCGATTCGGGCGCAAACGCATGTACCTATGCGTCGAGTGCCGAGTGCCTTCCGTACTTCGAGAACGTCTTTGGACCAAACGGAGAAGGGGGAATCTATACCCTTTTTTTCACCTACTACGCCTTTCCGATTGCCGCCAGCATCGATGCCATTCTCCTGGTAATGCGGGCGACGCTGCTGACGCTTCTAGATTTCGATTACATGTTCTACTCCACGATCGCCGCAAGCATCTCCTACGTTCCGGCCATTCTTGTCGTGACGCTGGCCCCGCTAAGCGTTCAAAACCAGGCAATCGGTATGTTCTCGGCCTATTACGTCCCACAGGTGATGCTGGTCTTTTGCTTTTCCGCCCGGCTTGTGTTCGTCACGCGAAAGCTCGAGGCCGGCGAGACCGGCCCGTGGTCGTCCCCACAAAAACAAAAGGAGCGACGGAGCTCCATGCAATCTGCGCAATCGATCAGAGGCATTTCGCAATCGATCAGAGGCATTACGGCGGAGGATGCCATTGAGGCGGCAAATGCCGAGAAGCGAGCGGCTGACTATTCCAACATCCATTCCAACCACTCGTCATCAAGCTGCAGCGCGTAATAATTTGGAGCATGGATGACAAACAGAAAAAACAAAAACACTATGAATAGATATCAAATAACTGAACAATATACAAACGATACGATACGATTCGATGCAATGCAATGCAATCGCATGTCCCCTTTGACGACAGAATATTATCTTGAAAGACGGCTTTGCGTTGCTATACCACAGAAAAATGAAACGACATATCCCCGGAAGGACTATGAGAAAGATACAGGAATAGAGTAGTACGTCGGACCGGTAGAAGGCGCTGTCGTGCGAATTATTGATAATGCGAGTCGGGGATGAGACGAAACCGGTGGTGTTTCGGATCGATGCGATCCACGATAGTTGTAATTAGGAAACATCTGCTCTTAGTATTCCCCATCGCATTCATTTGGAAGCGTTTGCTCTTTTGGGCATTTCATTGCACAGCACTTTCCGCCGCCCGGATCTGTTCGAAGGAAGGCCCGGTCGGCGGCATCCGAAGTGCTAGCATTTGCGGTACGGCGCATCGGGAATGCGCGATCGTTTGTTTCCCCCATCGGATCGTCTGGTACTGCTGCGAATCCGCAACGAACGCTGCGTTCCGACAATGTTGCGTTCCGCACGTTGTCCTCGCCTGCACCGTTCCTTTCGCCTTGATCTTCCGGGCACGGGGTTTGCTGCCAAACAGAGAGCCTGCCTCCACGGCGGCAACGGCGAAGGTGCCTGCAAGGCCGGGATCCAATCGAATCGAATCGAATCGAATCGCATTGCATCGAATCGAATCGAATCGAATCGAATCGACGAACCATCTCGGTGCGTGCGCGCCGCAGGCGGTGTCGAAATCCCGTGCCGCCGGGTGCGTCCCATGTCCCTTCCCCGACCGCCGCAATTTCTGTTCCGTCACTTACCGTTGCTCCGCTCCGCTTCGTTGGTTGATTGTTGTTTTTTTGTTTTTTTTTGTTGCTTGTTTAGGTTCCCTCGGCTACTGCCTCGGTGCCCAGAGAGAGAATGTATGTCAGGACAAGATGATCATGTGTACCCACAGGCTATTCGACACTGTTCCGGCGGGCGGAGGGGTCGGCCCTGTGCTAGGCACGGCTACCGCTACCCCTACCTTACCCTTATTAACCAGATATGATAATATCCATGCATCTGTCTTCTCACGCTTTTGCGTGTGACTAACCAGCCCGCCAAGTTGAAGCCCCATTGCTATAGGATTGTCAGGTTTCCATCTGCTGAATCGCTCATCAGATTTTACCCTAGCGTCCCCCTCTGTGGTAGGCTACTTCCTATGCAATGGTCTACGGCCCTTGGTGGTTTACACTGGCGTTTACATTCTCCCTCACCTTCAGAGTGCGAAACCACACCGCGCGCCTCCCGGCGGTGTGGTCCAGATCACGATTAACATGCTTTGTCGGGGCCTTGTTTAAGGCGGGCACTCAATTTAGAGTCGGATTGGCCATGGTCTTCCGCCTGGCAGGGGGCTAGCGGCAACAAGGGCTAGCTCTTTCCAGTTCAACGGCCATGGGTTCCCAATCCTTATCCCGCCCCTCAGGGTTCCACTTACGACTATCCTGTCTTCCAGCTAAATAAGGATCATGGTGAATGGGAGGGGTGTTACACGTTGAGAGACTTCCATGCCGCATGCATGGTCGTCTCCCCCAAGCGTCCTGGTCTTTGCCAGGCTACTTCCCTTACCCAAACACTACCCGCTGGTTGATTCAGGCATTTACACTGAGGTGATCATCCTCTGAATGCGATTGTGAGAAGAGAGAAATGAAAAGCAAAGTGGGTCGAAATGGACCGGAATGAGAGAAAAGTAACTTTTTTGGATTGCGATTGCAAGATCTTCGAGTAGATCATGGTACAAGTTCAACAGGACGCAAGATTTACGACTTTTCATCTTACGTAGGGCTGGTAGTGTTGTTACAGAGGAACTGGTTTCGAACTGGTTTTGATACATCGCTAACCAGTTGCGAAACGGAAACCATTTGCGTGGGGCTGGTACGAATGTTACGGAAGAAAATGGTTTCAAAACCATTTCTAATCGTAAAACCATTTTCAATCGTGAAAAGAAACAGACAAAACCATGGTTTGCGTCGGCCATTAGCGATCCGAGGACCTTCGGAGAAGAAGAGGCTGCTGGAAGCCTTTTTGTGCGGTTTCGGAGGAGCTCCGACGAGACGACGAGGATTTGGTGCGGCGTCGATTTTGTTTGCCAGAGCGAAACCATCGTGCGTTGATGGTTTTCTGTGGATGCTTTCACGAAAACCAAAACGAAGAGGCTCCCAACGTCAAAACTATCAGAGAACGTCCATGTGGTGGCGCGCGGACAATCCATTTAAGAGAGATACCATATGTTCATGATTAGGATGTTCTCTTTGTTCTGTCTGACGTACGTTTGGCATCCGACCCAATGATATTATTATTTTAATGTACCGGTACGTACGGTACTGTAGCGTGAGTGAGAATCGCGCGATCATTGCATTGTCCTTTGTGCGCATTGTGATAGTTGTGATCGCAATTCACGTACCGTACGTACGTACCTGTAGGTCTGGTCGTACCTGTAAGTCTGGTCGTACATAGGAATCTTTGAACCTGAATGCGGGAACGAATCAAGAATCCAGGCGCGACTAGTCTAGCTCACTGCCCGGAAGAGGCTCAATCCACTACACACCATACACCATACCATGTGTTGGTAGCCAACCAAACGTAAGCCATTGCTAGCAGATACGAACGAAGCCACCACGAGTTGCATGCTCGGGGCATCGACTGCCACGGGTACTCCGAAGAGAGACCAACGAAAGCGACAACGACTTCCTCTCCCGGGCTTCCATGCAATGGAAGGACGCTACGGTCCGGACCGAAGAGAATGGTGTTGTGTTCGACGATCCCGGAACGTCGCACCCCGGACAAGCTCCCGGTTGTGTCGAAACCAAACCGCCACCGCATTGCCGTCTTTTCCGGCTCGCCGCGGTGTCGGCAGGAGCAAGCAGTGTCTTGGCGGCATGCGTGTGTTTGGAACCAAACGAATCCACGGCCCGTGCCGATCGCAACCACGGATGGTTTGCACTTACCGCAGCAAAACAACCAACGCGAACACTCCAATCCGCTGCTTTCCCGGGTGTGAACATGTGTTCCACTCTGGTGCAAACATTCTCCGTTGGCGGCCTTCCAACCGGGGATCCGTGGCTTCCTTCCTTGGATCCATGGCTATTTTCTTTGCTCGGACCGAGTGGCCCAAAACCGTCGCAGGTGTAAAAGACCGGGGCAGACAAGAAGGAACGGATGGAGTTTTGGGCGCCCCGAGTCTCGCTCTTTCAGGAAATTCCTGTGGTGGTGAAGAGAAACAAGAGACTTATCGATTGGCTTCTTCCATTCGAGAAGCGACACATAATGCCACGCGATTCCAATGCCGATTCCGCAACTCTGAGACTACCATAACAACACTTTCGGTATTCCCGTAGACTACTTATCCGTCAACAGGAGAAAGCACTCGAAGACAATGATCGGAAAATACTGAAGGATAGAACTACGGTATGATTTGGCGAAGTCTGCTGCTATTTGCTCGTGTCGTTCCAGAAGAATCCCAACCTCTATTGCTACGATCAGCGGCAAACAAGTCGTCCAGGAAAGAATTAAGTGCCAATGATCACCAACCTGCTCCATACATGGATGTTATTCCAGTACGAACACCAGTACAAAGCAATCATGAACAGCGCAAAAGTTTCGTGAAGGAGTTAACCGAGAGTGCCCTGGTGCACGCCCAAGGCGTGTTGCCCCATGAAACAAGAGGGCGACCAGCGAAATGCTCAATCGGATCAAAGCGTCGGTGTCCAATGGAATTTTGTGTGAGGTCAATGTGTAATGATATAGGTTACAGAGGAACAACGTCTTTGAAACACTCGAACAGGATCTTTTGCAATTGTTGGAAAAACAAGGTCCTTGATCCCAAGCTAGAAAGTTTGCTGTCATCTAGAATAGGAATTGAGATCACTGTAGTTAGATATGGTTCGCCTACAAGTTAGTAATAGCAATGGTTTGAGTTGTTTTGAAACCCGTCCTACGATAGGTGGGGTAGAGACCTTGTCTGTCGGTACGAGCCATTGCGGTGACAAGAGAGACGCGGCGGTATGGCTCCAGTCGATTTCCTTCGGACGTTTTCTAGACGAGATCGTCACCGACCCGTGTTGGGGATGTCGAAGGGCCCGTAGACTACCAGGTGGGGTTCGTACATTTCCGTAGAAAAGATTCCGCGCAGGTTTCCCTTCCAATCTCGTTCGGGATGCGAATCCCCAGGATGCCGTTCCTGCCCAACGGCACCGTAGACGGGGATTTTGTGCTCGCACGCCAGTTCTTCGCTGGCGCCGTTGCCGGATCCCGCGCTGCTTTTGCTCGCGCCGCCGCAGGGACCCCCGTTCCCGCTCAGCAGCTCGTATTCGAAGCGAACGTCGGTTTTTGACACCAGCGCCCTCCGGCGGACCGCCACCGTCCCTCCCTCGTACTGCAGGCCCTGCTGTGGGCCACACTGCTGCGACTGCTCGGTGTCGACAAAGGCCCGGGCGGTATGGTTGGACAGGCCGTCCTGCAGGAACAGGATTCCGTTCTGGGTCAGAGCCAGGCTCTCCGCGTTGGGGGACATGCCGGCACTCGCCACGAGGCCGATCTGGGCCTGGTGGGTCGGGATCGGGGCGTACCCGAGGCCGTTGCTGTGCTGGTTCGTAGACGGGATCCGCGTGGTCCGTCCCGTGACGAGATCCCCCTGGAACGTGTCCAGGGCCCTCCGGAGCTGGTGGTCCAGGCAGATTTCAACGGTAAAGGCGATTCCATCAACGACGAGCCAGTCGTATTCGACCTGGACGTATCCAGCGGATTCATACAGCTGAACCTTGTAGGCTTCGAACCAATCGTCATCGTAACGCTTGTGCTGGTAGCTTCGGGGATTGTCCACCACGATTGCTGGTTTTGTTGCTTCCACGGTGGTGGCCTTCGATTCCTCGGAAGCCGTGGATTCTGTCTCGTCTTTCCGGCCAAAGGCCGTGACCCATTCTCCGCTCGGAATTTCATCCGTGGGGGAAGAAGATTCTTCTTCATCGACGGCATCCCCGAACAATTCCTCCCATTCGGATCCCCGGTCGATCCAATCCACGTCCCGTTTTGGTGTCAGGAAATCACTCGTCGAGACGTATCGCTTTGGGACCAGGAATCGTTTCCCCAGCGCAAAGTGGTGGCCGTCGTTGCTGCCATTTTTGTTGTGGAACGTTGCCCAGGCCGGATCGAATCCCTTGTAAACGGGTGCGAAATTGTAGTACAGGTATTCGTAGTTGTCGTCGTGGGTTGGGTGGTGGTGGTGATGTGTGTGGTTCCCGGTACCATCGTTCCCGTTGGCGTCCTCCCCTTCCCCATCTCCACCGGCTACCTCGAGCCTCTGGGTAGCCACAACGGTCCCAAACAAAAACAGCCAGTCCTCGAATCGCTCGTCCTGGACCATCTCTTGGAGGCCCAGCAGCACGGCGCAGACCGGAGAATCGCCAGAGCACACCTCGTCGTCGTCGCCGTCGTCTGTGCTTCCGTTTTCGTGGCTCTTCGGATCGGTATGGTTGAATCCAAAAATTTTGTCCAAGCGTTTGGGATCGTCCGTAAAGTCGTAGGCACCACTGGCACCCCGAAAGAAAAACTCTGGTGCCGCAAAAATCTTGAGGACGTCGGCTTCGTTGGATGGTTCCTGCGAAGGAAGAGAATCGTCCGCCAGCAACTTTTGGTACTCGTCGTAGGCCGCTTCGATCGCGTCCTTCATGATGCGGAGCCGCTCTGCCACGTCTACCATGGGATCTTTGTTCCCGACGTAGCACTGTAGATTGATGCCGTCGTCCAGAGGAACTTGTCCGTATTTGTTGGTGTTTGGTGCAGAAAACTCGCTGCCGACGCTGGTACTAGTAATGATGCATTCCGGATTCGGGACCCTGGTGGGTTCAGTTCCTTCGCCGGTGGTAGAAGAGGTATTGCGATTGGGGTGTTCGTGTTGGTTCAAAAAGGCGGGGGCTCCTCCCGTGTAAATCTGAAATCCAAAATACCGAACCTTTTGGTATTTCGAAGACGAAAAAGACGAAGTAAAGTCGTTGTTGCGACCTTGCTCGCTGCCGTGAGAATAGCCATTGTGCCGGTGATAGTGATTTCCATCGTTGTTCTCCCACGTCGACGAAGCAAATCGATTTCGGTACGAGAGCAAGGCGTGGACACCAGCATAGGCAAGGGATCCGAGTGCGGCCACCGCAAAGAATAACACCAGAGCAACAATTTTCCTCGAAGGGTGATCCATCTCCCCATCCATCGCCCCTCCCTTGGTAGCCCCCTGGAATCGCCGCTTTGGCTCCCGAGAGCCGGCGCAAAACGGGGAGCCATCGGCTTCTCCTGGAGGCCGTTGCGGGGGCAGCAAGAGAGATGCTTCGTGGGGGCCGCCATCGGCTCTCTGCTGTGGCTGCCGTGAACGATTGTGGTGGGGTTGTTGGTGGCCGAGGTTGGCTCCGTCGTGGGGGTCTTCTTGGTCCATTGATGCCAAGCGGGTCCACGATGCAGAGGCTTGACTGGGATGAACAAACGATGCAGCTGTGGTAATAGTGCTGCTGGAGGATCTGTATCCGTCCTCGTTGTCGTTGTCCCCGGGGTTGGTGGTTCCCAACGAGGCGGAGACAGATACATCGATGGGTACGCCCAAATTGGAGAGCGGCATTTGTTTTGGATCCATGATTGCTGCTTGGTGTTTGTTTTGCGAGGTGGTGATTCGCACCCTTCTTGTTCTTGGTTTTGTTGTTGTTGCTTTGTTTTCTTGTTGCGTCTGATGCGATTTAATATTGCTCAGCTGGTATCTTGCTTTGCAGCTGTGTCCTGTACAATGCCGGTATTGTTGATCTGGCGGATAGATTGCAAGTACTCTAAACTAGTGAAGGAGTCGTCGTTGCGGATGAGGGAATCGAAATGAATACAGAGGAAGGCTACTGAAGACTCCGGAAGATGGGCTTGTTACCGCAGCTTTGGGATCTTTTTCAAACCCATTTTGATAGATCATTGAACATAATGCTTGTGAATACCGGTACCGGCACGTATCATAGGATCAGTACGATGCTTGCAACGGTACATTCGAGCAACGGTACTTTCTTCATTATGCGGATATGATTGGTTCGATCGTACTGTTGCTGTTACTCGTACTAACCATACGGACTCAAAGGACGATGACATCGATGATGCAATGAATCTGCAACCGATGATGACAAAAATATTGTCCCGGTTTCGGACCAAGGATGTGTTTTCCCTACCGTTGCCGGTAGATTGTTCTTTCGTGGCTGATTCGTGTGCAACGAAATTGCATTTTTGTTTGGTCGACGGACTCGTCTGACTGAGTAATCCTAAAACTATGGGCTCGGCAACAACGTACGTACCGGCCGGTAGGAGTGTAATACCGTACAGGATCGGGATCACCAAATACATACGGTACGTACTTTCTGGGGGTACGATACGAGTACGACTCATTTAGTGTCCGTTAGGGTTATTTCAAACACTTGATTTTTTTCAATTACTTAGGATTTCCGACACGTGCTCGATCGCGCAACCACTCGATTATCTAAGCACTTGTATCGTTGCTTTTGGTCTGCAGGCTTGGCAGATCTCTCGCCAACTGAAGTATGAACCGCTCCTGCCGGCTCGGTGGCAGCTATTGCACATAAGCAGTGACTACAATACAACATGTGCTTCCCGAGTGGATTCCTTTCTTCGGCTCGCCGGATACACATGTTGTGTACCATTGTATCGGCATCACACCGAATCGTATGTGCGGTGTTCGCGGGAAGGGTGGACGGAATGATAGCAATAAGTAATTGTACGAAATTACTGTACCACTAGGTATGCGTAATTTTGGGAAGAGGCATCGCACGAGTACAGGTATGTGTATGAACGGTGAAGATGATAATTCACAGAATTTTCTTTTCTACAGTCTCCTTCATTTAATTTCTAACCGTTACGTGTTAAACCTCGATCACCGGATTTTATCAGAAGAAAAGAAAAATAAGCAACCTCGAACAGAAGAAGACCGAATGCAAATAATACCATAACGAATACAACTCATTTAGACCCAAACAATAGAAGCAACAAGCAACAACTAATTTATACGAGCAACAGAACGAAACGAACCCAACACAATGGTCGAATTCACAACCCTCCTCCAGAATACGTTCCGGAAATTCCAGCTCCGGGGAGAAATCGCTCTCCTCGACCGCGAATCAACCAACCGCCAAAGGGCCTTCGGGGTCGAGCTCTACGACCTCATCGAGACGCAGCGCGTGGCAATCCAAAAGCAAGCCGAGGAGGAAGCCAAAGAAAGCAACAGCGATCCAGAGAAACTCGCCGATGACCTTTCGAAAGTCCTCCGCATCTTCCAGAACGTAGAAAACGCGATCCGTCAACCGCTCGAGGCCTGCCGAGACGAAATCGAATCCATGGAGGCAAGCGCCCCCATGCCCTTTCCACCGGTACTAATTCAGAGGCGAAAGGAAGAATTTGGAGTCGAGGTCTGGCCAATTGTGAGCCAGCCGCAGTGGCTCCACGATTGCCTCCAGCAGGACCTCGAAGGAGCAATGGCCGAAAAGAGCAGGAGCCAGAACGCTGACGGTAACACCACCGAAAGCGCAACCGACGCCAAGAAAGAACTAGGCGACCTCGTCAACATTGCCGTTCGGGGCGTTGTCAAGGGGACCAAGACAACGATTGCCAAGGCAATCGGGAGACTCTCTCCCGAGGAGCGCGAGGTTGAGGCCTGCGTCGACCGGGCCAAGAAAGACATGGCGCTGTTGGAAACCGAAAAAGCTCAGAAGTTCACCGAGATCGAAGACCTGGTCGAGGGGGGGAGCACACTGGAATGCTGCTGACGAAACTCATCTTACTAAATATATATGTGTGTTGCATCACAGATTTATCTACACAAAGCTAGCAAAAACGCAAAGCAAGCGCAAGGATAGGACAGAGCAGGAACGAATGAAAGAAAACACAACAAGAAAAGAACCAAAAGATAATTTTTGTGTGATCCAGGAAGCGAAAGAGCTAAGGATTGAGCAGGATGCGGCGGCATAAATGTGTGTGCCCCGAAATAGGATCGGGAATGGCGATACAGCAGGTAAGAAACCGGCACCGTATCCGTAGTGTTATGTAGGTATGTATATTCCATATTGTAGAATACCTATACGGTAGAAGATTATTAGAACACAATGCAACGAAACGATATCAAACAATAGAATTTTGACGCTCTCGTCCAAACTTGAAACGTGCCTTCTGTTTGCTCGAATGGGTGAACGGTGAATTAAGAGGTTGACCTTCTCCTGGTGAAACCCTTCATTTTGACACATCGTGCTTACAAAATTTGTTGACAGAACTTTGGGATTACCGATTGGTGGTTGTTCCCAAAAGATTCTTGTGGGTGTATGGTGCACCAGATGAAATCAAATCGGTTCCATCTAAATCCTTGTTTTGGATCGATCGAAAAGTTGCTGGATTGATCGACCGATCGCTAAACCGAAATGCACCCATCGAACCGAAGGTCAATGTCGTCGAAATGGACGGATCGATACGATGTAGAACAGTGATTCCTAAAAATATTTCAAAAGGGAACTGATTCTTAGTTACGCTGCATTGATACAAGCTATGGCTCCTAGCAAGAGAGAGGAACTGTAGTTAGTTGTCTATCTAATCGCAACAAATTCAAATAAATACGCAAACCAATCCATTCCTCCGGCCGAGAAACAGACCCATCAATACCGCTTCATGTTTCCTAGCGCGAAATCGGAGAGGACCTGGATGGTTTGGTCCTGCTCCTTGATGCAGGTCTTGACCAGGTCCTTGATCGAAATCATCCCCAGTAATTCGCCGTGATCAACCAGGGGAAGGTGGCGGATGTCGGCGCCGAGCATTTTCTCCATGCATCCCTGGACCGACTCGTCGCGACCGGCCGTGACCAGCTTGCTGCTGGGGGTGAAAATTTCCTTCACACTCGTTTCCTCGGGGTTCCTCTCGAGCAAATCGACTTTGGAGATGTAGTCGCGTTCGCTGATGATTCCCGTCAGGTCACCTGCAGAGATGGTTGGAACGAACGAACGAATCAATAAATGAATAAACAAACAAATCGACAAGTGAGTCAACAAATATGACCAAATCAATAGACTACGAAGTGGTGCATCAAGTCTGGAAGAACACGGACGTGCGGAAAAGGCTCTAGGTTTCACAAATGCGGCACCGTGTACAACATTCCAGCGCGACCCAATCCAACACGCGCACCGTACCGTACCGTACCTGTTTTGTTGGTGGTGACGAGGCAGCCAATGTTGTGCGCCACGAATATTTTCACTGCTTCGAGAACGCTCGCGTCTTCGTCGATGCAAAAATCGATTTTGTTGTACCCACTCAGCTCGGCTGCGTCGCCCGCGGTAAAGGCGGTGCCTACGGTGCTAAAGGCCCGTGGAGCAGCGGCGCCACTTCTGGCAGCAGTGCGTGTGAGAATCGGTAGGACTGGTCGAAACATTGGCTTGGCTTGGCTTGGCTTTGCTTGGCTTGGCTTGGCTTGGCTTGGAGCAGGCGTGTTTGTCTGATTCGGGTATCGCTTGTTCGCTTGCTTGGTACTTTAGCTGCTGTAGCTTCTTATCGTTTTGCTTCGTTCGCTTGTTTTGTTTTGTTTCGTAGAAACAAGAATTGTGTCAACAATCCACCAACGATGCGTCGCATTCGAAACCACCCATCACCACTCGTGGATCCAAAAAGAATACCGTACGGTACGTACCGGCACTCTCAAAACAAGGAGCATGGTGTTAGTACTACCAGCAGTAGGAGCGCGAGAACAGTACGGTACTACTCGGGTTCTGTCACTCGAAAATTTCGAACCATCGCTCTCGACGACAATTGTAGACTCGATCCCAGCTGCTTGATGGATTGATTGATTGATTCGAAAGAACTTGGTTGATGTGTGTGTCGTACGGTACGGTGTCGTAGTCTGCAGGCCATTCGTCGTGATCGGTAGGAACGCACCAAGTACCGTACGTACGGCATGGAAACCCGGTTCCCTGAAATGGTGGTAGTAGTATCTTTTCCATTCACAGTCTCGTTGGGATTGATTGATTCTTTGGAGTATTCATTCATGCCTCGAAGTGACGACGGTTCTGACACCGTTCCGCGAAAACTGCCACCAGCACTCCGTCCGTACCGTACACAGTACGGACCGTACGGCATCGCCCGATCCTACGGTGTGCTCGCGTCGCATGGTATGTTACATAGGTATGATCATACCTGTTTGGGTATGATCATACCTGCATGGGTATGATCCTATCCTGATAGATATGATCATACCGGCCTGGGTATGATCATACCCTGATAGATATGATCATACGTGTCAGG